GAAAAAATATAGCAACTCAACAGGGTTTGTTTTCTACCAAAAGCAAAACAACACAGCCTTTTTTTTTATGGTATGGTTAGAAGAATTTTTGGAAGGAAGTATACAGGCAACTGTTAACAGGAAGACTATTACGGCTCTGATCTGATTCCTGCTTGTTCTAGGTCTGCAAGTTTATATTTATAGAAATGTAAAAAGCAAACTTTCAAAATGTTTTATGACTTCTTTCTTTCCTCCCATTGTTAATTGACTTGAGGACCAGATAATAGGCAACTGGCTTTTTTTTTTTTTATCAGAGCTACTCAGTCTAATAAGTATTGCTTGACTGGCCTGGTAGAAATAATAAGTTACAGGATCCCTCCATCAGGAAGGGCCTATAGCAGGGGTAGGCAACCTTGGCTCTTTTTATGATTTGTGGACTTCAACTCCCAGAATCCCTGAGCCAGCATGGTTCAGCTTGGAAACCTCTCCCTTTCCCCTCAGCATGGCTGGCTCAGGAATTCTGGGAGTTGAAGTCCACGAATCATAAAAGAGCCAAGGTTGCCTATAGCATTCATCACCTTCTCAATGAACCAAAAATGATTTGCATACTATGATTAAACCAAGTTTTAAGCATAATCCATGAATTAAGTTTTCGACTGCTCCACGGTGGTCTAGGATACACAATACAAACATTTTCCATTTCAAAACAAATTATGTAGTCAATAACATTCCAAGCAAAACAATAGGTCCAGGATCCAAATTTGGGCAAATCCTTCGTTTTTCAGAAATGCTAAGCCGTATTTTTCTATACTTCATTTGGATCTCAAATTCCAAAATCAGAAAAAAAAAATATTTAAGCACCAATCTCTTCAATCCAATTCCTAATGATTACAATTGCTGAAGCTCTTCTTCGCCTACTACATAATACAGCTGTCAGTGTCGACTTACAGCAGTTCATTTACTAACCATTCAAAGTTAGAAAGGCATTGAAAAAAGGTGGCTTGTGACAGTTTTTCGCACCTACGACCATTGCAGCATCCCCATCAAAATCCAGCCGCTTGGCAACTGACTCACGTTTATGACGGTCAGTGTCCCAGGGTCACGTGATCCCCTTTTGCAACTATCTGACAAGCAAAGTCAATGGGGGAAGACAGACTCGCTTAACAACAGTGTGACTAATTTAGCAACTAGCGATTCGCTTAGCAACTGTGACAAGAAAGGTTGTAAAATGGGGCAAAACTCACTTAATACATGTTTTGCTTAGCAACAGAAATTTGGGGCTCGTAAGTCAAGGGCTACTTGCATGTTAAAAAAACAAAGGGAAGGTAGGGCGTCCTTAACCAGCCTAATCCCAACAATTCAAATCCTAGCTGGGAAAGATACAGATTGCAAGTGGTTTCTTCTTAAATTGTAGTGAGATTTGGAGAGTATGAAGAAGCTCAGAGCATTTTTTTTAAAAAAAAAAATAATAAGTAGCATTTATCACGTTGTTGCATCAGTCAAAGCAGGTAAGTGGAAGGAGACTAGGAAGGAAATATTTCTGGAGGAAAAACAAATGATTAAGGCTACTATATTTGGGCTGTAAAGATGGAGATAAGCACTAGATGACAGCAGAAAGAATTAAGAAAATTCCAACACACTGCTTCCTTCTGGAGACCGTCCAGGTTTTTACACGCCAAATATAATAGCCCTACAAAAAGGTAGAAATGACAATATCCGATGACAGTTTAGCTTCAGATGAACAATTGATTTAAACACAAGGGTTTCAGCACTTCGTAACGTTTTCAGCACACTGCATAAACTTCCAAGGGAAAGCACAAAAGTAGCCTCACAGAAACTGCCTGACATTGTTAAAAGACATGTCGATCGAACCGTGTTGTACAAAACAACCCACAAAAATAGTGGCGTTTGCTGATATCAGCAATCTGAAAGGGCTACAACCGTCGCTTTGTATGGAAAACCACGTTGATTCCTATATTCATAGCAAGAGCCTTCTGGAAATCATCAGTGCTTAAAATGCACGGCAATTATTATCTGGTTTTATACGTTTGAAAGGTCCAACGGTATTTTTTTTTTCTGGCTGTGCTTTTCTTTCTTAAGACTATATATTAAAGCTTCAAAATACCCATAGAGTTCAAAGAGGAAGAGGCTAAGAATCAACCGTGGCTATTCCATCAAATGCTCGGTTACCACAGGTGAATTATTGCCCTTGTATCCAATCTCTGCATATCTGCCTTTTCTTTAAATTTTCACAGTTCTACCGACTGCAATGTAAGACTCAGAACCTACCCCAGGCAGTTCCATGTATACTCACACAATATAGCAGTGTTTCTCCACCTTGACAATTTTAAGGCATGTGGACTTCAACTCCCAGAATTCCACAGCCAGCAACCAGTGGGAGTTGAAGTCCACATGCCTTAAAATTGTCAAGGTGAAACACTGCAATATAGCAAAGCACGCCATTGGATATGCTATATTCATAGCGTCTTTGGTTGCTTGGAAGTGTCTTGGCGACGTTTGGTCATCTTCATCATCAATCAGCTGTTTCTTCCTTTTAACTGCCAATTGAATCTGATTGGGTGGAGGTGTGTTCATGAAAATCTGGTTGTGCTCAGGTTAGTCTGAGTTGAAGATTTTGGGCTTGCCAAGGGTGTCAGTTTGCTTCAGTGGCTAATGATGCAGCTGTGGTCTGGCTTCTGTTCTTTGTGGCTTTCTGGTGAAGATATCCGTTTGTCAATAAGGGCGGGTTTCAAATGGCTGGTAGGCGGGAGGTATCACATAGAGATTATTCAAACTTTTGGCTCTGGAAGAGGCTTTAAGGTGTTAAGATCTTTTTTGACTGATGTTCTTCAATGCGGCACTTATTCTTCTGTTGGTTTGTCCCAGTGGTGCATGGGATTTCGTATACTCCTTGATTTTCTAATTCAATTTTATCTTTGGGGTTTCTAAGGATGGTGGATATTTTTCTGTTTGTGCAGAATGCATGTTGTGTTTATGAGGATCTTACTGATTCTGTCTGTGGTGCCTTTTATGTATATCTGGGGGTTTCAATCTTATTTCTCCATTGGATGTTAGTACAGTTCGGTTTTAGGTGTTGTTCGTCAGCTAAGCGTTTTGTTCTGGAGATGAGTGTCTTGGCTACAGAGTTGATCTGTGCTGGGTGGTGGTGTGAGAGAGCGTGCAGATAGCGGTTTATGTGTGTTTTCTTCTGGTAGATGTTTTGATGTTGTGTTTATGGAGGATCTTACTGATTCTGTCTGTGATGCCTTTTATGTATGGGAGGATGGCTTTGCCGTTTTCTTGTTCTTTGTCTTGTCTTGTCTCTGCACGCTCTCTCACACCACCACCCAGCACAGATCAACTCTGTAGCCAAGACACTCATCTCCAGAACAAAACGCTTAGCTGACGAACAACACCTAAAACCCGAACTACACACTCTCACCAATGTACTAACATCCAATGGATTCCATAGAAATAAGATTACAAACCTAATCCAAAAAGAAACCCCCACTAAAATCCAAGACAAAGAACAAGAAAACGGCAAAGCCTCCTCCCATACATAAAAGGCATCACAGACAGAATCAGTAAGATCCTCCATAAACACAACATCAAAACAGCATTCTGCACAAACAGAAAAATATCCACCATCCTTAGAAACCCCAAAGATAAAATTGAATTAGAAAATCAAGGAGTATACGAAATCCCATGCACCACTTGTCCCACCACATACATCGGACAAACCAACAGAAGAATAAGTGCACGCATTGAAGAACATAAGAACTCAGTCAAAAAAGAGGAACCAACATCTTCCCTGGTCCAACACTTAAAGCAGGACATGAAATTGACTTTAAAAATACCAGAACCATTGCCAAAAGTGAACATTTTAATAACAGAATAATCAGAGAAGCCATCGAGATAGAAAAACGCCCACACAGCATGAACAAGCGAGATGATACCTCCCGCCTACCAGCCATTTGGAAACCCGCCCTATTGACAAACGACTCCCTAACACAAAAAATGATACCAGACCCACACTCACAAAAACCACACAGGAGTCACCACCAAACATCCACGCAAAAAACAAACCCAAAGCCACACTGACTATGAGGCACGACCACAAACCAGAAGCCAGACCACAGCTGCATCATTAGCCACTTTAAACCCCCCCAATCCATACATGAAGCAAACTGACACCCTCCATGAAGAGGAAGCACGACCACGAACGCGAAGCCAAGGAATGCAGCCCAAAATCTTGAATCCCTCTGCAACTCAGACTAACCTGAGCACAACCAAACAGAACACTCCCCCAGCCAATCAGAGCACAGCCAACCCCCCAGCCAATCAGAGCACAGCCAACCCCCCAGCCAATCAGAGCACAGCCAAGCCCCTAACCAATCAGAACACACCTCCACCCAATCAGAACACAGCCAAGCTCCCACCCAATCAGTTCATACCCCACTGGCAGTTAAAAGGAAGAAACAGCTAAGACCACACACTGCTGCTGCACGAAGCTGAAAGCACCAGCCTGAAGATGACGAATGGGACTTCGTCGAAATCGCCAAGACACTTCCAATTTTATAGTATATATATATATATATATATATATATATATATATATATATATATATATATATATATATATATATTTGTTTTCTGAGGTTTTCTCGGGTATTTGTATATAGGTCTTTGGTTGTTCGGGTTTTCTCCCGCGTAAAATTGGAAGTGTCTTGGCAACGTTGCCAAGACACTTCCAATTTTACGCGGGAGAAAACCCGAACAACCAAAGATATAGATATATATCAATATCACCTACCGCAGATCAATTTTAAATTCCCACTGAGGGCTAGCCGATTCTCAACCTTTTTCTAGCACTGGCTCCTGTGACATTTTATCACCGGCTGTATGCAGGCCCACACATTAAACCTCATTGTAAAACAATCTCACTCACAAAGGAAGTCTAAGGATTTGCTTATCTCTAAAATTACCACAACTGCAGCACCGCAAGCCAAAAACAACTCAGCGATGTGACAAGGAGAAGGTTTATTGCGTGCTCAACCAAATGGCGAGGCCAAGGTTGCGGTGAAGATCGTCACCACCTGGATGGCAAAGCTGAAGACTCAAAATGGAATTGACAAGACGGGCGGATATTTTAGTGGCTATTTTTCATATTATAGCTGGGAATAATGGAAGAGGGTTCGTGCCATAAAAGAGGGCAGAAACAGGCAGTGGTTCTTGTGTTCTGTTGTATAAAGGAAAACTTTTTAAGTTCTGGCCCAGAGGGCATTAAACTAAGCAGATTCCTCACTGTATTTAGCCAGATGCATGAGGGAAATTCATACTGATCCGGCGCGATATTCTTGGTTGTAAATGCACTGCTCTTTATTTTTCCTTTCTTACAGGTATTGTAAAACTCTCTTTAGTTATCTGCAGAACTGAGTGCCCAAAGGACAGGGGGGAAAGAAATAAGTGGAGCAGTGCTAGTCTATTGATACATTTTTTTTTTCAAATAACTGATAAACTGTAGTACTGTTCTTTTTTTGTATCCCTCTTTTTTGTATTTATTTATGATTTGCCACCCATTAGGACTCCACTTTAGTGATATGCCGGTCAAGAGTACTCAAATGTTCAATCCTTGCTGAAGTCTAGGTTCGAAAGATGGGAAAAGGGAAGAGAGTTTTGTCTTAATTCTGATATATTGTCTAGCATCCGACCCAAAGGAAGTGCACCTTTCTTATTCTTCTCCAGGTTAAGATTTTTGTGGAAATTCAACAACAAATTCTCTCTTACTTAATACAGCTATACATTTTTAATATAAGAATATTTCCCTTTTGTTTTTGTTTTTTTATACCAGGACTGAGATTTTTTTTCCAAAATAAAAATAATTATTATGAACCTTTATTAAGCGGCTCACATTTTAATATAAATCACACTAAAAAGTTTTTTGTTTTTTTGTTTCGTTTCGTGTTGTTGTTTTTTTTTAAAAAAAGCTATTTACACTACAGTGCTGACACGTTAAAAAGGAGGAAAAAAAATGGTATAAATAAGCTCTATGGAAAAGCCTGGAATTGTCAAAAAAGAATTCTGGCTTACCTTACAAAAAATATATATATGTTAAATGTCAGCTCTATTCTAAAACCTACAACTCATATTTTAAAGACTTTTTTTATGTTATACCTGCAGTGTTTACAGTGCATCTGGCCCTAAGTGCTTTCAAACGTTTACAGCAGTGTTTCTCAACCTTGACCATTTTAAGGCATGTGGACTTCAACTCCCAGAATTCCACAGCCAGCATTGCTGGCTGTGGAATTCTGGGAGTTGAAGTCCACATACCTTAAAATGGTCAAGGTTGAGAAACACTGGTTTACAGTTACGGACAGGCACGGAGGAATGTTACAAAGCTACATAAACTATTTTATGCTGCAACAGCTGCAAGGGCAGGTTTGTTTTTTTTTAAAAAAAAAACCTGCCTCACAGAATGTAAGCCTCCTTACATTGTGTCGTTATATTTTAAAAGTATTTTAAAAACATATACGCGCGCCCACGCACGCACGCACGCACACTTAACACAAAAAATCGTCGTCTGGTTTGCCGTGCAGACTCGAGTAAGTTGAGCTCCTCTGCCTTGTGTCTTCCTGATTCACACGACCCCCGGGGCACAGGCTGTCCTGCGTGTATTGGTGGCCGGGGTCGGGGTTCGAGTCAGCCTCAAGTCTCCAGCCTGTCAAGTGAGCGTGATCCGGTCTGGCTTGAGCTTTCTGACATTCCGCAGCTCTGGAGGCTGCCGTCTTTTCGGGAAGGTCAACGGGAAGGGGCCCCTCTGAATGCTGGAGAGAGAGAGCAGGTTCGTGTGGCGTGCAGGGAACCTCCTGCTTCGCGTGTTTAGTCTGAAGGCTACTTGAGAATTTGGTTTCTTCGGAGGCGCCAATGTCCGTGGGATGGAGGGCACTGCCAGCCTGAAGCCCCGTAACAGAAGAAGACGTGGGATCGGTTGGGGGGTCCGTTTCGTAGGGGGCTTGGTTCTCGGTCTCCGAGTGGTACGGCTTGAGGCGCACGTGCCACGCCAAGCTACACACAGCTGAAACTGTCTTGAATTGATGTATAACGTTCCGCGGTATAAAATAAATATCGTTATCGTACAACTGGATCCTGGCGTAGCGGATGCCTTCCCTTCGTAACTGGTTGAGTTTCGCATCGTCCACCCACTGGACGCACTAGAAAGAAAAAAAAGGAAAGAATAAAGACCTCCTTCAAATATCCTTTAACATTCTTCTTCAATGTCATCCAATCGATCAAGGCAGTTACCTGAGAAAGTGGAGGCTCGTGCAAATCTAGCTGCAGTCGTTGAACTACCTCTAAGAAATCGTCCGCGTGAAAACAAATTACGTCTTTGGTTATGCGAGGCTGTTCAACCCTACACACGAGGGGGGGGGAAACAAAAGTTGTCATTCAGGATTATTCAAAATTGTAACTATCTAAATACTTATAAGCAAGTTAAGCAAAACTCTATAAAAATACAAAGACCTTGTAAAGGGTCTATGACCGTGGTGGCGAACCTATGGTGGCACGCAGAGCCCTCTCTGTGGGCACACATGCCATCGCCCCAGTCTTCGGCCTTCAGCTGGGTTTTATAAAACCTTTTCGCTTTAGGCCTCTGCCGCCGTGTGCAAAAAAAAAAAAAAAAGGTTCAATCAATCAATTTCTCGCGGGGAAAAAAAAGATCTCGCAAAGCTGGAATTGATTGATTGAACTTTTTAGTCCCACCCAGTCTGTCATTACCACCGCAGCCACGCCCACCCAATGGGCCACACCCACCCAATTGGCCATGCCCACCCGGCACCCTACATAAGTGGGTTCTGGGTTGCAGTTTGGGCACTCGGTCTCTAACAGGTTCACCATCACTGGTCTATGACAATCCGCCATGGCTAACTCACCACAGCCAACAACCTGCGGTACAACCTGCCCTATGCGACAAGAGTTACACAAATATCAAAAAAAGGGTGGAATAGAATCATTGAAGAATATTCGAAAAGAGGGACAGAACGAAACAGGAATGACAAAAATTATATTTTTGTTCATTTTAAATAATCAAACTGAATTGTTGAGCTGTCCCACCGCGACATGTCCCACGCTGAGTTGGCCGTGGCAAATGGGCTGCGGTGGGTTGTCCTATTCCAACCTGTACAGGTAATCTTCGACTTACACCAGTTTGTGTAGTGATCGCTCGAAGTTGCGACGGGACTGAAAAAAAGTGACTTGCGACCTTTTTTCCACACTGATGACCACTGCAGCATCCCCGTGGTCATGTGATTTTACATTCAGATGCTTGACAACTGGCTCATGTTCAGGACGGTCGCAGCGTCCTGGAGTCACGTGATCACCTTTTGTGACCTCCTGGCAAGCAAAGTCAAAGGAGAGGCCAGATTCACTTAACAATGGTGTTACTAACTTCACAACTGCAGGGATCCACTTAACAAAGGTGATAAGAAAAGCCGTAAAATGGGGCAGAAGTCACTTAACAAATTTCTCACTTAGCCACATAATTTTTGGGCTCCATTGTGGCTGTAAGTCGAGGACCACCTGTATTCCAATTTGGGGGAAGCCCAAATACTAAGCAATCAAGAGCAACCAAAACTGTTAATTCTTTTCATGGAACAGCAGCACAGACCAACACCCAAAACCCAATCTCTGGTAGACCTGCATGAGCAAATAATAGCACTGTAGACCATATCCTTTGGAACATTGGCTGATGTCTAAAAGTAAAACCTGACTAAGCTTAGAGGTAAGGCTAAAGACACCTCCAAGCTGAGCACCGATAGGAGTGGGTGGAAACAGCCAAAGAATAAATTTCACCATATAACACAAGCTATAATTGATGGATAACCTAAACTCTGAAATACCCATTGCATGGACTTGAGAAAAATATGGGGTGGGGAAAAAAAACATTTCTAATATTTGTACAGCTAGTCCAGGGGTGGGGAACCTTGGCTCTTTTATGACTTGTGGACTTCAACTCCCAGAATTCCTGAGCCAGCCTGGCTCAGCTTGGAAACCTCTCCCTTTCCCCTCAGCATGGCTGGCTCAGGAATTCTGGGAGTTGAAGTCCACGAGTCATAAAAGAGCCAAGGTTGCCCAGCCCTGACCTATATCGGGGTCCTCAACCTTGGCTCTTTTATGACTCGTGGACTTCAACTTCCAGAATTCCTGAGCCAGCGTGGCTCAGCTTGGAAACCTCTCCCTTTCCCCTCAGCGTGGCTGGCTCAGGAATTCTGGGAGTTGAAGTCCACCAGTCATAAAAGAGCCAAGGTTGCCTACCCCCGAGCTAGTCCTTGACTTAGAGCAGTTTATTTAGTGACCATTCAAAGTTACAACAGCACTGAAAAAAGTGACTTATGACTGTTTTTCACACTTATGACTGTGGCAACATCCTCACGGTCACGCAATCAAAATTCAGACTATGGGCAATTGATTCATATTTATGACGGTTAGTGTCCTGGGGTGACGTGATCTCCTTTTCAGAGCTTCTGACAAGCCAAATCAATGGGGAAGCCAGATTCACTTAACAACCATGATAGTAACTGAACAACTGGTGTGATTCACTTAACAACTGTGGCAAGAAAGGCCGTAAAATGGGGCAGAACTCACTTAACAAATTTCTCACTTAGCCACGTAATTTTTGGGCTCCATTGTGGCTGTAAGTCGAGGACCACCTGTATTCCAATTTGGGGGAAGCCCAAATACTAAGCAATCAAGAGCAACAGATAGGGCAAAACTCACTTAACTGCTTCATGAGTCAAGGACTACCTGTATGCAACTATGTCTTCAGTGTGATATAAATCATAGCAGTACCTAAAATGCAGTTGGGGTGAAAGACATTTATAAAGTGGGATACGAAAACCACATTTAGCAAAGCAGTGGTGGAACATTATGTTTGGGTGATGTTCATTTATGGAGAATAAAACTAGGAATTAGCAGCTATTCCAATTGCAACAGCACATCTCAATTTGCATGTCTGTGGAACTGTGAACATCCAGATGGTGAATGAATGAAACTTAAGGCTTTAAGGAAAAAGTTACATAACATCACCCATAATGAATGACTCATAACTATGCTGGATTTGCAATGCAGATGAGACTGGTTTATTCTGGCACCCAGTTCCTAAAACACTCAGGCATTTGGGGATGAAAGATCAATAGGAGAAAAAAAAAATCAGCCAGAAGACGATCTTGGCATCGGGCTGCACAATCACAGATGGAGTGCCCAGCTAATTGCAGTAGGCAAACTGCATCAACCAGTAGTGCTGAAAGCGATCGTGAGCCATCTGCCAATTCTATTTTGCAATTTACTGAGGTAGGATTTAGATAATTTACATTATCTTTTTTAAAAAAAAAATAGCTCTTCTTCTTTGTGCCCAAAATAGGAAGTATTAGAAAAGGATGCTGAAAATATCACTTTAGCGAATGAAAATTCTGCTCCTCCAAACGCTCCCTTTCATCCATCAGAGAAAAAACACAGAGAATGAAGATGAAAAATTTAATATTTAATTCAATCCACCAGCCAATGAAACATTATTGCAACCAAGAAGAGATGATGATAGCTGTGTTGGAAGATAAAGGAGGTAAAAGTTGTAGAGGGATGGCTAGTAAAATGAATTTCATAAACCACCCTCTGAAAGCTAGCCGCTGACAACTTTAAAAAAAGCAAATAAAATTTCTAACCTTCCTTAAGAAAAAAAAATGCCTCACAATGTTCATAGCTGCAGTTTGAAGGACTTGGAGGCCATGACTAGTGCAAAGCCATCCAAAAAGCTGTTGAGTTCTATTTTGTAGTGACTAAGACGTAGAGGTATCAGTGAAACGCAGAAATTACATGGATCAAGAAACCAAGATGACGATAAAAGAAAACTTGTGAAATCCCCAAATAAATTACTGGCGTTGAAGTCCACCTTGATAATGTGATTTCTATCATTGGTTTCTCATCCCATCATAATGGCCAGTGTACATGCTCTTCAAGAGAGAAACATACAGGAACAGCATGTTTCGAGATTATTAAAATTGGACATTTTCAGAAAAGTATTTTTTCTCCTCTCACCCTCTCTCTAATACTTACTCCTCCTCTCTCTCCCTCCCTCTCTGTGCATCTGTGTATGTCTTATTGGTTTTTCTTCTCCTATTGCATTCTGTAACTAAAAGAAAGTTGATCCCGGCACACAACTACTGAAAAATTAAATGTCATACAGCGGTATTGTTTTTGTAGCTGTACTCAATGTAAAATGAGCTACCGAAAAATGTCCCGTGTATTGAGCATACTGTGGATGTAAAGCTCCTTTGGCATATGCTTAAACTTAAATTTAACAGACATAAGGAAGACATTGCAGTAATCGATGCCAAAGTTCTGCATCTTGTACTATGATTTAGTTTCTGAGCAGGACCATCCCATAATTGTTGCTTAGTGAGGAGAGAACCAAACAGTTGAGCAACAGACACACAGAAATGAATTGAAAGAACGTTTTGCTTTTACACTGAGTTATGAGAGGAGAGTAAAGCAATAGGATTCACCAGTCAGACAAGCCACAGACCCAGTAAATGGCAGCATCTGGCTAGCACTGCCTGGGCTTAGAACAGTGTTTCTCAACCTTGTCAATTTTAAGGCATGTGGACTTCAACTCCCAGAATTCCACAGCCAGCATTGCCAGAAACACTGGCTTAGAAGCTATGCTGAGACCATCTTGATAACGTATAGGGATGAGAAACCTCTAGAGCAGGGGTCTTCAAACTTGGCCCTTTTATGACTTGTGGACTTCAACTCCCAGAATTCCTCAGCCGGGCACGTATTCTGGGAGTTGAAGTCCACAAGTCATAAAAGGGCCAGGTTTGCAGACCCCTGCTTTAGACTATTCTTACTGCTGTTGACTAGTCAGGAAAACAGACAGAGGCAATGTATTATTTCCAAGAAAACTACATGGAGAATGGAAATATCCATAGAATAAGTCACTAGGACTTGGAGGCTTTACTACTACCACGTAATCCAATTTCAAACCAAAAGATTAACTCTTGTTCTTCCATTCTTCCATTCCTTAAGTGTCAGGCAATTAGCAATTCTCCAAATCAAAATATAATTTTCATTTTTCTAGGTAACTGTGTGGATTTCCCCTACCGATAAAATATGGCAACAAAAATTCCTCCTCCTTCAAGATCACTTTAAATGTCTTTCTTTAACGCTACTGAATGCTGTTTAGTACGAAAATTCTTACTAAATGGTATCTCTATTGATAAAATGTCTAGAAAAAACTAGACAGGGAAAAGGATATTTAATCCAACCTCCCAGATTGGCAGGTTTGAAGATATCCAGTGAAAAAGATCTTAGCATCTCTTGGTTTAATTGGTTCAACTATCAACCTGCTCTTATCAATAGGATATCTTTCCTAATCCAAAACTGCCTTGATCTATAATTAAAAATCACTGTGTGGGGTCCTTGGTGCTCTCTGAGCTTGGTGGTTTTCTTGCAGGCGTTTCATTACCCAATTAAGTAACCTTATCAGTGCTACAAGGGAGTGGGGTCTGCTCTTACACCAGGGGTGTCAAATTCGCAACCTCACGTGATGTGTCGTGACTTATCGTGATTTTTTCCCCACATTGACAGAGCTGGGGTGGGTGGGTTTCGGCATGACGTATCTGGCCCACGGGCGGCAGCTTGGCACCCCTGTCTTACACTGACAGGGCAAGCCGTTAGTATATAAAAATAAGAGCAAATTCAAATCCTACTCCCTTTTAGTACTGATGGTGTTACCTAGTTTGGTCATGAAATGTCTACAAGAAAACCACCAAGCTCAAAGAACACCAAGCATCCCACAATTCAACTCTGAGCTATAAATATTCTCAAGATCCACGTTCCACATCTTGCACTTTTGAATGACAAAAAAACAAGACTTCATATTTTTCTGTGAGACACCCCTTCAAATACTTGAAAGGTGCTGTCATAACCCACTTTCAGGCAGTTTTTCTCACTGCTTTAACATGCCTAGTATTCTGCAGATATTTTCCTGAACCGGCCGGCCATTACATACCATTCTCCACAATGCACTGCCTTTAACACTCCGACGGCAGCTGTGGTCTGTCGTTCAAATCCTTGTCCTATGTGATCTGCATGGGCTCGTGTCCTGTCTTCGAAAAGCATTTCACGAGGCTCGCTAGTACGAGGTAGGTACTGCAGGTTTTTAATTTCATTGGTAGTTCTGTTAAAACAAAATAACAGAAAAGCTATACCTCAGTCACATTTTAAAGATTTTGGCTGCGTAGGTTTAATTTCACTCACAGCATCAAGTGGGGAGATACAATTGGGGAGAGACAGTCCCACAAATAACCCAGTCCCAAGCCATACTGTACAGTAGTGGCCAAAATTGTGGAAACCTTTTGGGAAAAGTGTATTTTTGAGGTTTGATGGCTAATAACACCACTTTTTTTTGGGAGTAGTACCATAAAATGATATATCAATGGAAAGATAATTTAATCAAGAATCTAATGCAACATAGTTTGTTCAATTATCTGTACTGTATTTTGTGAAAAGTTATAGCCAAATAACCAGAAAAAGGAAGCACAACTTGCTCAGGTTGATATCAGATAGCTTTCCTTCATCTGATTGTAGCCAATGAGCGTGAGTGTTTAGAGAGCCAATCGGGTGTCACCTTGTTTTGGCAATGAGCCAATCAGATCACAGTAGGATTCAGTGATTGATGTCCTGTATTGAAGCTGAGAGGAGGACATTTGTCAGGGTGTTATGTGATCACTATCAAGTTGGTTGGGGTTTTTTGTGTTCTTTCATTTAGTGAGCTTGTAAAACGTAGTAAAATTAAAGGAATGGTGCAGAGAGTTGACTGGTCGCCCAGAAAGCGATGTAAAATAGTATTATGAAGTGAACAAGGCTACAGTTATAAAGAAATTGGAAGAAAAATGGGTGGAAACTTAACCAAAGGTGGCATTTCTACTGTACACTTTTCCCAAAAGGTTTCTACCATTTTGGCCACTACTATATAGAACACAGACTTTTCCAATTCTTCCATGAGGGAGGATGGGCTGAGAAAGGGCAATTGGTCCAAAGAGCACCAAGTGAGCTTCTATGGCTAAAAGTGAACGAGAACCTGGTTTTTCCCTTATCCTAAACCAACACCTTGATCCCTAGATACTGACTCTTTAATTAGCAGAGCCATAACTGAATATCCCTTTCCATAAAAGAGGCCTCCACCACACTGTCAATATATGGACACTGAGGCAGAGTTCTCAACATTGCAATATGTCTGCCTAAAGATTAAATAAAAACGTTAAGGCCGGAGTCAAGAGTATGAGCACATCGTGGATCAAACTCTGCAAAAATCGGTATTTTACTTATGAAATTAAATCACAGAAAGATTTACCCTGATTTTTTTTAATAGCCTGGGAAATGTCTAATCTAATTAAGGAATAGTAAACCTGTCCCTTAAGCAACACTGCGTATTTCTGGCTTGCATTTGAGCAGAGATGCTGCAAATATTTACCATATTCAATCCTGAGACAAGCCTGTGCACAGCAATCTTCTCAACTAAAGGTTGGCACCTACTTAAGAGTTAAATAAGGGTCCAAGGCATTCAAGGGAGCTTGGACTTAGTCCACTTGTGACTACCGTATATTCCGGCGTATACGACAACTTTTGAGAGCGTTGAAACAGCCTCCGAACTCAGAGGTCGTCTTATACACCGGAAGTAAGGTAGTTTCTGGCATATAAGACGACTTTCTAGGCATATGACTCGGCGTCGATTGTCTTATATGCCAGAAATAACGTAGTTTCTGGCGTATAACATGACTTTCTAGGCATGCGACTCGGCGTCGATCGTCTTCTACGCCGGAAATACCGGTAGTTTCCGGCGTATAAGATGACTTTCTAGGCATGCGACTTGGCGTCGATCGTCTTGCGACTCGGCGTCGATCGTCTTGCAACCCGGCGTCGAACTCGGGGGTCGTCTTATACGCCGGGTCGCCCTATACGCCGGAATATACGGTACATAGGATTCTAGGCTGATTCCTCTTTTAACTCTGCCCTCCGGTTCTACCATTCCTTCTGCTACACTAATCCTGGGAACGGAGTATGAAATATTACCGATTATTGAAGTCAACCAGATATTATAACAGACCTTTTCCTTTTGAAAGGCGACTTTGGCATATCTGCCACAGGAATCATCTGTTCTCCTGGACGTACCCACATGATGGGACCATCATCGCTGTCTTTCCGACTTTCTAGTTTCAGACTAGAAAGAGTCCCCCAGGGTAAAGTACACTAAAATGAAACACTCAGGTTTAAAATCTTATGTTATTTTCTGATGCAACTATTTTTAAAACTACGTATTTTATTTTACAAAACGAAAAGCACCGTGTATCCATCAACAACTTGTAACACGATTGGCAACTGATGAACACAAAGCATTGAAACTTTCAATTTGAACGGAGATGGAAACGGAGACTGAAAACCTGTACATTCACAATGTTTTGAAGGCAAAGTGATAAGCGTAGCAAGCGTGCCAATTTCTGCAGGAGACAAACTACTCTCTACACCAGTGGTGGCAAACCTACGGCACGGGTGCCGGAGGCGGCACTCGGAGCCCTCTCTGTGGGCACACACGCCATTGCCCCAGTCCTAGGCCTTCAGCTGGGTTTTATAAAACTTTTTCGCTTTAGGCCTCCGCTGACATGTGCCAAAAAAAAAAAAAAAAGATTCAATCCATCAGTCAATTTCAACTTCTCGCAGGAAAAAAAAAGATCTCGCAAAGTTGGAATTGACTGAACTTTTTAGTCCCACCCAGTCTGCCGTTACCACCGCAGCCACACCCACCCAATGGGCCACACCCACCCAATGGGCCACGCCCACCCTGCACCCAACGATGCATAAGTGGATTTTGGGTTGCCGTTTGGGCACTCGGTCTCTAAAAGGTTCGCCACCACTGATCTACACGTTATGAGCTTCGGAACTTTTAAAACTTTCGGTTTTGCTCAAAAATGTGCAATGGATGCAGCTTTTAAGAAATTAAAGTACAGGCTGGCTCTTAAAATACGAGCATAGAATACAAGATGATAGAAAGATATAGTTACCTCCTTGGTGTTAAATAATTTATTAATTACTTGACTCTCTCGTCAGATGAAGAAATTAATTACTGAACAACAGTATGATTTTATTTGAAATAAAAAAAATTCCAGCCCATTCTAATTTCCATCTTACTTTTAAAAAAGGTGAATCTTCCAGCATATCAAGGAACTCTGGAAAATAATCCCCAACTTCCTCATCTACTGCTCCAACCAAGCTGATTTGCCTCATCGCACCGGCTCTGTACGTACCATGGGAATATGTTCTTTTTACCTGAACAAATGCCAATTAAAATAAAAAAAAAACAGCACTAGTTTACTTTATGCTCGGAATAATTTACAAAATTATTTAAAAGTGTAAAAATATCCTCAATGTTTTCTGAAACCCAAGCAGTAGTTTCTATTAAACATTCACAAAAGAATAAACGTCATTTTAAATGCAAATTGCTGGCAAATGCAATGTTAAGTTACTATGTCAATATAGGTTTAACAAAAGGATATAATCCTAAATATATTATTGTAAAAAATAAGCTTAAACAAAGGTGGCAAATAAGACATGGTGGACGTCTTCTCTTTGTCAAGGTATTCCTTCAAGAATGCATTTCCTGTACTGAGATTCCAATAATTTAAATAGATAGAGCGTGTTGGTTCTGATTTAAGCATTTAATTTATATATAGCGACATATTAAAGAATGAATTGGCTATAGGAGTGTATTAATTTGATTATTATATTGATATTGAGTGGTTGAAAGTTTTTATTAAGGAAATTTATATTTAAATATATTAATGAATGAATTTATTTGAATTTAATTGATTATAATTTCTACATAGACAGAGAGGGAAGTTTTAAGAAATATTGTGTGAATTGTATATATATATATATATAATGTTATTGTTTTCTCTTTGTAATTGACCACCATATCTCCATGCTGGTTCTTAAGCTTCTGTTGGTGTAAAATGGAAAAATAATAATAATTGTTTAAAAAAAAAAAGCATTTCCATTTATCAGAGGCAGAAAATGCTCTTTCATCTTAAGTTGCTATCTCGCTTTTCTGCCAACCCTGCTTTGAACGATGCAATCAATCAAGCTGTCATCACGCTGTTCCTTCAAGGTTATTCAGCTGAATAGTCAGCATCCAGTAATGGCTTTTTAAATTACCAGATGATCTAATGCACACAGGGAGTTCCTACATTCTATCCACTAAAATAACAGATTGTACAGTTGTCACTAATGCAGTACTGCTAAGCTTTACATCTCTCTAATCATAGATTCAGGTTTCTGGGCATTAGACAAAGCTTTTTCTCATGTATTTTGCAATAAACCCTTCACTAGCAGCCTGGCAACAAAATGCTAGTCCTAATTCATTAGCATACTACAGGTAATCCTTGACTTATAACAGTTCATTTACTGGTAGTTCAAGGCTACAACAACACTGAAAAAAGTGACTTATGACCATTTTTTCACACTTACAACTGCTGCATCCCCAGGGTCACATGATTAAAATTCAGATGTTTGGCAACTGGTTTCTATTTATGAGGGTTGAAGTATCCTGGGCTCACATGATCAGCTTTTGCAATCTTCTGGCAAGGAGGAAATCAATGTGGAATCCAGATTCACTTAACAATCATGTTACTAACTTAGTAAATGCAATAGTTCATTTATTTGCAAGTGACAAGAAAAATCGCAAAACTCACTTAACAAATGTTTTACTTAGCAACATAAATTATGGGCTCAATTGTGGTCGTAACTCAAGGACCACCTGTACTTCCACAGAGGCCCCTGTAGCCGGTTTTAATTTACTAATCCACTAATGGAAGTTGGATGTCCCAATATTTTTACACGCAAACTCCTACATGTATGAGGTAAATTTCTGAAGATATTTGAGAAATTGAATTGTTTATTTTGCATAATTCATATTCAGACTCAATTCCACAAACTCTGAGCATCTTATTGAAACAAAAACAAAACCACAAAAACACTCAATTAGCACAATGGACATCATTAAAGCAGTTCAGTGAACCAGATCTTAAAGGCTAAGAACCGTTTGGTTTAACCTGCTGAACATTTTAAAGCGCACTGCAGGATAATTACTATGTAACTGATTGTGGGGAAAAAATATCCAAATTAAAATTAAAGATATTAGTATTGATATGTAAGTAATGCAGTAATCATTCTGATTTTTTAAAAAAATATTAGTCAGTCTTTTTACAACAATTTCGGTTTTAGATTTTGATCCAAAATTGTAGTTAAAGCAAAGCTTATTCCATATTTCTTAAATTGTATTTCTCCTACATCCACAAAGACATCGCATACACTCTCAAAAAATATGCAGCGGCGGGACCAAATGTTTTGACAGAGGCAATTATAAAACACTTTCCCAGGCATTTATGGTATGGTATGGAAAGTTATCACATAAAATACTCAGACCTATTTATAGATGGTAGAGAATGCAATATATTTCAGGGAAGACTGCCCTCTTTCATGTGTTCTAGCTATATAGGATTGTAAGAAAAAAAGCATGAACTTGATTCAAATAGTGGAATACAAAAAAGAGATCAGACAGGCAGATATGGATGCCCACCTTTTCCCCTCCCGAATTGTTTTCATTTCAACTGTGCATTGCAGTTAACACAGGTAGTCCCTTCACAGACTTCAAAGTTGTAACTTGCTCAAAGTTACAACAGCATTGGAAAAAAATGATCACAGCATCTCCATGGTCAGGTGATTAAAAATCCGGAGGCTTGGCAACTGACTCGTCTTTATGACGGTTCCAGTGTCCCGGGGTCACGCTTATCACATTTTGCGACCTTCCGACAAGCAAAAGTCAAAACGGAAGCTAGATTCATTTAACAACCTAACTTAACAACGGTGGCAAGAAAGGTCACAAAGCAGGGCAAAGTTCTCTTAAGAAATGTTTCACTGAGCAACATCAATTTTGGGCTCAGTTGTGGTCATAGGTCAAGGACCACCTGTACCATCTAGTTTGTCTTCCTTAGTTTCCATCCTTCTCTTCCATCCCTCTGTTTTGTTGTGTTTAGAATACAATCTGAAGGTAAAACACTGCTGTAAGCACGCCATGTTGCCAACTGTTGTCATTTGCTAGAACTAGAGACGGTTTTTTCAAATGATTTTTTTTCACAGCTAAGCAATTGTTTTCACTTCCTTCCTTTTTCTCTCCCCCCCCCCCCTTCAACTGAAAGCTCTGCTGAGGCAATATTCGGATTGCTTTTGTTGCTGGCTCATCAGGAAGCAGTTAATTGGCTTTTAATTGCCTCATATATTCTGGGCCACTTAACATAAAATAAATAGAAGGGAAAAATCTAACACCGCATAAATAAAACTCTCTCTTTACACACATACACACACACACACACACACAAAAGAGAGGGAGGGAGAGAGGGAGCAACTAGTAAGAATTCTGCTTCCACCAACCCCTGAATCTCCCTGTATAACCACAGACATGTCAAACACAAGGCCCGGGGGCCGGATGTGGCCCGTGACGTGGTTTCATGCGGCCCGTGAAGCCATCCTGGAAACAGTGAGGGAACAGCCCCCGCTGCCTTGGCCCTGGCCCAGGCCGGCCGGGAGCCAATGTACAATTTTGTGGTGGCCCTCTATGCTGAAACGCATTCAGTCTTAGCTCCACAAGGCCGTCTGGAAACAGCGAGGAACCAGCCCCTGCCGTGTCGGCCCCGCCCCCTGGGTGCATGCTGGGGAGGTGTCCCCCTTTGTGAGGAATGAAGAAATGGACCGTGCCTTGGCGCCTGCCCCGGTCCCACCCCCTTCTGCCAGAGACCCTCAGATCTGTCCCACTCCTGCCCAGGCCCCCACAGGCACCCTTGACGCGAACGATGTAGAGCTGGCCATGCCTACCCAGTAGGCCACACCCACTCCATCCACGCCCACCCAGTAGGCCGCACCCCCCCTGGCCACACCCACCAGCCCCCCCCCGAGGGCAACCGCAATACTGATGCGGCCCTCAATGAAATTGAGTTTGACACCCCTGTATAACCACGACTGAGCCGAAAATTTCTGTTGCTAAGTGAGACATTTGTGAAATGAATTCTAACCCATTTTACAATCTTCCTTGCCACCGTTGTTAAGGGAATCACCGCAGTTGTTAAGCGAATCCGGGTTTGTTTGTCTGAAGGTTGCAAAAGGTGACGGCATGATCTTGGGGCCCTGCAACCGTCATAAATATGAGTCAGTTGCCAAGCATCTGAATTTTGATTACATGGCAATGGGGGATGCTGCAATGGTCGTGAATGCGCAAACCGTCGTACGTCGCTTTTATCAGTGCCCTTGTGCCTTCAAACAGTCACTAAACAAACTGTTGTAAGTCGAGGACTAGACTGCCTGTAATGAAAGCAAATGTTATTTAGTAAGTATGTAGCGGGGCTGGCCCAAAGGCTTTGCGGGAGCCTGGCCGGAGAGAGGGAAGAGACATAATACTGTTCTCTCAAAATCCTGTTTATCCACACCTAATACTCCAAGATCACGCCATCAACACTGTGGTAACTGTGAGAGGGACCTCGGAGTCCTAGTGGACAATCACCTAAATAGGAGCCAGCAATATGCTGCAGCTGCCAAAAAAGCCAACACAGTGCTAGGCTACATTAACAGAAGGATAGAATCAAGATCATGTGAAGTGTTAATACCACTTTACAAGGCCTTGGTAAGGCCACACTTGGAATACAGCACCCAGTTTTGGTCACCACGATGTAAAAAAAGATGTTGAGAAAGAGTGCAGAGAAGAGCAACAAAGATGAATAGGGGACTGGAGGCTAAAGCATATAAGAAACGGCTGCTGGAATTGGGGTATGTCTAGTCTAATGAAAAGAAGGACGAGGGGGGACATGATAGCAGAGTTCCAGTATCTCAGGGGCTGCCCCAAAGAAGAGGGAGTCAAGCTATTCTCCAAAGCGCCTGAAGGCAGGATAAGAAGCAACCGGGTGGAAACTCATCAAGGAGAGAAGCAACCTAGAACTAAGGAGAAACTTCCTGACAGTTAGAACAATTAGCCAGTGGAACTCCTTGCCTCCAGAAGCGGTGAATGCTCCAACACTGGAAGTTTTTAAGAAAAGACTGGACAGCCATTTGTCCAAAATAGTATAGGGTTTCCTGCCTGAGCAGGGGGTTGGACTAGATGACCTCCAAGGTCCCTTCCAACTTTACTACTACTACTACTACTATTACTACTACTACTACTACTACTACTACTATTAATATTATTAACATTCAATGGCCAAATAGCCATTTGTGTTATAATAGTGTAACTTTGGGTGGATTTTTTAAATTTTTAGTTTCTGATTTCCTCACTGAAAACAAAGAAGGAGCTAGAAGTGGAAGACCGCTGGGAAATAAAGTACCTTTCATCATCAGAAACCATACCATCACATTCAGCCATTTTATTACTTAAATCCAGTCACATGATTTCAGGATAACTGGGGCCTTTTAAACACGGACATAGGAGTAACATTTGTCCCAGAGTCGTCCCAACATTTATTTCAACCCCAAATTTGGGGGGGGGGGAATTAAGTCTTGTCACATCACCTGACACAAAGAGCTGTGACTCCCACTACATCTTTATTTCACATACTTTGGCCAATCACAGATATGTAGCTTTGGATAATTTTTCCTCACAAAATGTTTTGACTTGTTTGTTTAAACTGGGTCCCCCCAATTTAATTTTAGGACTTGGGATGTAGGACTATATAGGACTATAGTGGCATTAAAAAAATGTAGAACAATTTTTTTTAATACCACGGTATATTTTTTTACCTTCAACTGGGAACATTCTAAAGTAAATTAATTAGTCATTAAAAGGTACCATCTCAAAATTTAACAATCTTAAGCTGTTTTACTATGGGTCGTGGTTGGAGAATGAACTCTGGTGCATCAAGAATGGGGCAAATCTGCTCTTAAGTCTAGCAGGCATTTTGTTCAACTCTCTAAATATAGAGTGATTACACCCGCTGTGCCTGAATGCTGTGTCCTATTTTTAGAACAAGAATGAAACGAACCAGTTTGACAAGCAGCAAATTATATTCTATAAAAACAATGGAACTGGGTGAAATCCTACATCTTTCCATGCAGGAGCAAAATCATGTAATTTGCTGTAATGATTTTGGGAAAAAGATTCTTCTCAGGAAACAACTAGACAAGAGAGCCAGGACTCCCCAGACCTATTTTTTGTTCGCTGCCTTGAGTTATTTATAAAAATAATAAAGGCAGGATTTAAAAAAAAATCTAAATACGTAAAAATAAAAGGACAGTCAAGGAAAGAAACGTATGAAGGACCTGCCCTAATGTATCAAGCAGTTAAAAATGCTGGCAGGAAGTTTGTATTTTCAGACTTGCAAGATTCTGTTAAGGTGGCCTTACAACACCATAGAATTAGTTCATGTTTCCTGTCTAGTTTACCTGGGAGGGCAGATGTCTATCTTCCCCCCTGCCACTTTGAGCTGCTTAATCAATTAGGGGAAGTCCTTTCTAAGTTTCTTCCACTGACAGTAAGCAGCTGGGGGGCTCTTGTCTGCCTTGTCTGCTAGACGGCATCTCTTCCACGTTTTCCATGACATGAATAGAGTTCCCTCCCCCTCTGTCATTTAGAAATCCTCCATTCATTAATACAATAACGTATATATATTTTTGCCAAAAGATAAAAACAGTTTAACAACATCCCTCAAACGTACAAAACTTTCATTTAAAAAAAAATCAAAAAGGAAATAGATAACGAACGAATGAACGTTGGGAACTAAATAATTCAGCAACTGGTACATAATCCGCAGACCAATCTAGCAACTCAACACCTGCCTTTCACATCTCCAATAAACTTGGGTTAATTTTGGGCCAAGCTTTTCATTACTCCCAATTTGTGAAAAGTGCAACTGGGTTTCTTCCCCCACAAAGCCCCTTATTCGTCCTAGTAGCAATATTCTTTTCATAATATAATTCCTCTCTGAACACAAGGAAGAGGAGAGAAACTAACTTGCAAATGCAGAAACCAACTTGCAAATACTTAAAACACATATTTGATACAAACCAAAACGGATACAAACTGTTTTCACAGGAAGAAAACAGTATCTAAAAGGTATCTATATTTGTTTTCTGAGGATTTCGCGGGTGTTTGTATGTAGGTCTTTGGTTATTTGGGTTTTCTCCCGCGGAAGAAAACCCGAATAACCAAAGACTTACATACATATACATATACACATACACACACACACACACACACACACACACACACACACACATATATATATATATAAAAATTTCAAAGGAGTTCAGTTTTGAGCTAGTTCTCCAAAATAAACCACAATGTATTGGCATAAAATTCTACAAATGTTTTCTGCCTTACATTATTTGCCTCACAATTTGTTAATTTCCCCCCGCCCCCAAAACAACACCAAGTATCACTGATTCTAGAGATGGGCTGGATGTAAACAAGCTAAGATTCTGACAAAACAGACAATCAGTCGACTGGCTGGTAAGTCAGACGAAGAGTAGTTATTCTGGTTGGGGTTCTAGTCCCTGTGAAGAATGAGGTTCGTGATTTTGGTAGTTTCTGGAAATACTCCTCAATATCAAGGTGATTGTGGCTATGAATGTTGTTGTCAACCTCAGCCACTGCTGTTGCATTCTTTCCTCTAAAACAGTGTTTCTTAACCTTGACAATTTTAATGCTGGCTGTGGAATTCTGGGAGTTGAAGTCCACATGCCTTAAAATTGTCAAGGTTGAGAAACACTGCTCTAAAACATATTTCTAGGTGTATCTTTAGGTCATCTTTCTGCAATGAGTCATTTTCACATGTATGGAATTCCAGAATTCTCTTCAACGAGAATTTTCCCAGATTTGACAAAGCTGTGTAATTTCACATCCAGATTAAATTGCTGTAATATATTCTACATGAAACTCTCATTCAAGGAGTATCCAGAAAGAGGATAGAACAAGATGTGGTCACCCAACCATTTTTTACAGCCTGCTAATGGATAGTTTTTAGGTTCAATTCGAAGTGCTGCATATAACTGATATGAATCTTAAATTTCCTGGGATGAGAACATTGGAAAGTCCATCTATTCCCAAAGAATCTGCCCTGACAGCTGGGGCCATTGAAAAACTTTTTTTTTTTACAAGAAAAGGCATGTCAACTCCAGATGGTGACAGTACAGTTTTTTCAATGCAGCACTTCAATTTGACTTTGCCCTGCCTTGATCCTTTTGAGATAGATAAGCAGCCAAGAAATTCTTATTTTACAGGCTTTTAAACAGCTTAACTGGTTGTTAACCTGGCTTCTTTGATGCCTCTTTCAAATTGCGTCTGAAGGTATTTCTTATGTGCAGATATTGTATAAACATGTAATTAATTCCTCCTGACGATGGCATAAATGTTTTTATAATTATAACATCCTTCCAATTCCAGAGCTGGGAAATATTTTTAAACTCTTCAATGAATATTTTGACATTTTTGCCCTTTCATTACTCAGGTAGGTCCTTTTACTATTTTTAGACTACGAGTAAGAGATTAAGATTATTCTATTTAACTGAAATGAAGAGGAACCTGAATTTAAGACGATGTCGAAGTAGACTGAAATAAAATTCAGTCACGTCTAGATGAGACTGGCAGCATACTGGTCAAACAAACAAACAAGCAAATAAATAAATGAAATGATAAAAACAGGCAAAAGTTCCCTGTAAAGCACCTTGCTTTTTCACCTTTTCAACCTAAGGTTTCCAAGTGCAGCTGAAACCAATCCTAGAGATTCCCTGCCCTATAAATGGATATATGGGGCAATCTCTCTCTCTCTCTCTCTCTCTCTCTCTCTCTCTCTCTCTCTCTCTCTCTCTCTCTCTCTCTCTCTCTCTCTCTGTGTGTGTGTGTGTGTGTGTGTGTGTGCGCGGCCACATTCCCCCATCTCACATACAGCAAAGCTTATTAATTAAATGTAACAATCTTGCCCCTAACATTGAACTTTCCCATGGAATGAATACTAAATGATGAATACTCTTGGTCTCTTTCTTTTAAGTCAGTGTTTCTCAACCTTGACAATTTTAAGGCATGTGGACTTCAACTCCCAGAATTCCACATGCCTTAAAATTGACAAGGTTGAGAAACACTGTTTTAAGTACTTCAAAATAAACAGTGGTCCAAAAGGAGAACTCAAACATCAGCCAAACCATACGGCTTCTACAACATGAAAAGGACTTTATACCCCACACTATTTCAGTTCCATTTTGGTTTAAATGCCTCCACATTCTTTCAATCAAGCAGAAAATTGCTGGATGTTTGTTTAATAGACAACTGACAAATACTAATGTGTGAAAAAAAAATCAAGAATAATCTTTTCTTTTTTAAATTACATAAAGTCTAGTGGAAAATCTAAAATCAGAAACTATCAATCTTTCATAAATCCACTTGCAGGCATAAAACAAACATGAATTATAATTCTGATTTTGCAACGGAAGGTTTGGATGCGTTGCTTTTCTTTTCCTTCAGTTAGTGTAACACAAGCACACCTCGAGGTGGGCTCAAGGCTTTGCTGGGTCCAGGCGTGCTGATTCTCAGATAAGCATATATATAGGACTGCAGCCATTTCACATTTAGACAAAGTGACCCGCTTTGACTTTTATTAATCACTTTTAAGAATTGTTCTTTCCCCTGCAGTTTCCATTCTATTTTTTGTTTTTCAACCTTAACTGAAGTAGAAAGGGATACAGACATTCAGAATATATAAAACTAGCACCTCCTGCTCCAGAGCCAACAAGGAATACAACACAGAATTTCAATGAATTAGGTAGGCAATCTAAACTGTGAGCAGGTAATTCACAGGACCTTTTCATCTGCCTTATCAAAAATAGATGTTAGGCTATCATTTTTTGTTTTCTACGTAGTAGCATGGTCTAAAGCAGTGTTTCTCAACCTTGACAATTTTAAGGCATGTGGACTTCAACTCCCAGAATTCCACAGCCAGCAATGCTGGGAGTCGAAGTCCACATGCCTTAAAATTGTCAAGGTTGAGAAACACTGGTCTAAAGAGAAAAGGCACTAGTATTTAATATATATATATTTTTAGAACGCTCACTGTCTCGTTTAATATATTTATTTATTTATTTTTAGAGAAAAGGCGCAACAACTGGAACATTGAATACGAAGCGACATGTTTTTTTTTTTTTTTTTGGAAATATGAAAGATAACCTCTTACCTGAGCATGAAAATTGGACATAGTCGTAGTCTCTATATCTTTCTTTCCCAAAATCTCCATTTTCACTGGCGAATTGGGAAAATTAAACGAAAAGTAGTCTAAAAAGTCAGGTAAATAAGTAGCTGCCCCATGAACAATTCCCATTACATAGTAAGCTGCACAGTTGTCCTCTTCACTAAAAACCAAACCCAGAAATTCTTCTGCAAATCTCTCCATCTCCACGGGAGACAAGTGGGAGAGCTCCTTAGTGTAGGCATGAACCACTGAGGCACCTCCGTTAGGCTGGTGCTCAACATGAATGAACTCTTTGAACTCCAACGCGTCCAACCTTTGGAGCTTATCCTGAACCCGTGGCTCCTTTAACGACACAAAGGGAGACTCACTGTTCTCCGCTCTCTCGGACTCAGAGTCCTTCTTGGGATTCTTATGTTTCTCACTGAAATCTTTAAGAGGATGGTGGTGGTGGTGGTGATGGTGGTGATCCGCAATGCCTTTGGCTTCCTGATCCTCAAAATCGGAAAGCAATCCTGAGCAGATGGTCTGAATAGATTTACTGTACATTTTGGGACGCTTCCGTTTTTCACACTCTTTATGTTTCTTTTTCTTTTTCTTCTTTACCTTTTTGATCTGTAGATCGTCTGCATTGCTTTTCACCTTTTCTTTTACATCTATAAAGAGAAAGAAAGGTTCGCTTTAATTTATCAAAAGCTGGAGCTACACGAACATGAACAGCATCCTAATAATAAACATACTGCGTGTGAATCCTGAAGAACAGCAATATCACTTTTAACTTCTAACCACTTTACAATGCCAACTTGGTAAGGCCACACTTGGAATCCTGCATCCAGTTTTGGTCACCATGATGTAAAAAAGATATTGAGACTCTAGAAAGAGTACAGAGAAGAGCAACAAAGACGATCAGGGGATTGGAGGCTAAAACATACAAGGAATGGTTGCTGGAATTGGGTATGTCTAGTTTAATGAAGAAAAGGACAAGGGGGGACAGGATAGCAGTGTTCCAATGTCAGGGGTTGTCCCAAAGAAGAGGGAGTCAAGCTATTTTCCAAAGCACCTGAAGGCAGGACAAGAAGCAACGGATGGAAACTAACCAAGAGAGAAGCAACCTAGAACTAAGGAGAAACTTCCTGACAGTTAGAACAATTAACCAGTGGAACAACCTGCCTCCAGAAGCGGTGAATGCTCCAACACTGGAAGTTTTTAAGAAGAGACTGGACAGCCATTTGTCTGAAATGGGATAGGGTTTCCTGCCTGAGCAGGAGGTTGGACCAGATGACCTCCAAGGTCTCTTCCAACATCATCATCATCATCATCATTATTATTACTACTACTACTACTACTACTACTACTACTACTACTACTACTACTACTATCATTAATGTGTTAAGCCAGGGGTCCCCAACCCCTGATCTGTGGATTGGCACCGGGCCACGGTATGCTAGCAACCAGGCCACACAAACAAGTGACACACCCAACTGCAGGATGCAGGCGGCACACGAAACCACGCTCCCTCTGGTCCACGGAAAAACCTCTGGTCCACGGAACTAGTCCCCAGTGCCTAAAAGGTTGGGGGCCACTGTGTTAAGCTACAAGGTCGGGGTTGCAAAAAGATCTGGGATTCCTAGTCAAAGACAAATATTATCCGCAGAGTTCCTGGAGTCAGGCGTTTTAAGTTGTTAGTTCCCTTCTCCAGAACAGGATCCCCCTGAAGGCAGACAGGACCCAACCCTGTTAACTTGCCATTAAGACTAGGCTGCTGTTTCAGCAAGTCTTTGGACTCAGAGGGATTATTCCTGTTTGCCTGATGGTGGTGGTGGGCGAGGGGTGATGGCGGAGGCAACTGTGTATATGGGATACGGTTTTTCGTCAGCAGTAGGAAACGTTACCAATGTTATTGTTCTTCTCCAGTTTATCTCCTTACTGTTTCAGAAGTCTGCAAGGTGCTTGACGACAGAGCAGCACAATGAACGATCAAAGAAATATTCCAATGGGTGCTTGGCGGCAGGAAAAAGTCAACGTTTTCCGTTTCTTTTCGCTACCGTCAAATGGTTGTTTGGGAGTTTTGCAGGCTAGACAGCAGTTAATATCAGCCTGCAGCCACCATTGGAGAGAAGCTGCAAAGGTCACAGCTGCTTCTCACTTTGTTTGCTGGACCTCAGTTGCTTAAATTCTGCTAGCTGAAGAGACTCTGCAAAAATTACACCATCTACTTCCTGAAGCAGTGAGGCTGCGGTCAGAGGAGACGCTTCTCCTGGAAAACTCTTGACACCGATTCCTTGGGTAGATCGTTGTGCTCATCTTTATGCAGACACAATGGGAGAGAATTGTTCGTCTTTTATTGATCATGATCTGGTGTTACAGGATGTATGAAGGAGATGGGGAAGAGTGGGGAATTAGGAAAGGCAATCAACGGCAAACCAAGCAAGACAGAAAACACGCTGCCTTGTATTGTTGATCTGGATTTTTTGCAGGCCTGGGGGGAACGGCGCATGTCCTGGCAATAAATTCTGATGGCAGAATTGGTGCAGGTAGTCCTTGACCTACAACCAAAATCGAGCCAAAAATTTCTGTTGCGAAGACAGTTGCTAAGTGAGTCTTGCCCCGTTTTGCGACCTTTCTTGCCACAGTTGTTAAGTGAATCCCTGCAGTTGTTAAGTCAGTCAACACATCTGTTAGGTGAATCTGGCTTCCCCATTGACTTTGCTTGTCAGGTCACAAAAGGGGATCACGTGGCCCCGGGATGCTGCAACTGTCATAAATATGAATCGGTTACCAAGGGTCTGAATTTTGATCACATGACCATGGGGATGCTGCAACAGTCGCAAGTGTGCAAAATGGTCATAAGTCACTTTTTCCAGCGCCAGTGTAACTTTGGACTTTTTCCAGTGCCAGTGTTAACTTTGAACGGTCACTAAATGAATGATTGTAAGCCAAGTATTATCAGTATAAGGACATATACTGCATCCAGTTTTGGTCACCACGATGTAAAAAAGATGCTGAGACTCTAGAAAGACTGCAGAGAAGAGCAACAAAGATGATCAGGGGCCTGGAGGCTAAAACATATAAGGAACGGTGGCTGGAATTGGGTATGTCTAGTTTAATGAAGAGAAGGACCAGGGGCGACATGATAGCAGTCTTCCAGTATCTCAGGGGCTGCTACAAAGAAGGAGTCAAGCTATTTTCCAAAGCGCCTGAAGGCAGGACAAGAAGCAACGGATGGAAACTAATCAAGGAGAGAAACAACCTAACTAAGGAGAAACTTCTTGACAGTGAGAACAATTAATCAGTGAAACAACCTGCTTCCAGAAGCAGTGAATGCTCCAACACTGGAAGTTTTTAAGAAGAGACTGGACAGCCATTTGTCTGAAATGGTATAGGGTTTCCTGCCTGAGCAGGGGGTTGGACTGGATGACCTCCAAGGTCCCTTCCAACTTTATTATTATTTTTGTTGTTGTTGTTATTTCAGAGGAGACTGCAACCAGACTGCTGCAGGGATAAGAAAGGGAAGCAGTTAGTTGTTCTCCTGTCTTTCAAGTGACAGTCCGCACAAGGAAGTCAAGGGTTCAGCAAAGATGGACTCTGCAGCCTCAAAGTTCTGCCATCAAATGCCAGGCCAACTCTTGGCAAAACAGCTCTTTATCAGGATTTAATCCTGAATGAGAGCACAAGCCTGGCATGCATTAGGGCTGTCTACAAAGTTATGTAAGATGTTGTAAGACACTGGCTTTGGAAACCCTAAATGGCTTATGGCCTAAGGGGTTACCTTACCTGCTACGAACCTGCCCTATATTTAGATCATGAGTGAGCAGCTTCAGAAGGTGCTTCTATCACTGGCAGAAGCTCAGCTGTCTGGTGAACTGGAGAAAGGGTTTTTCCCTCCTAAGTAGCTCCCGGGCTACTGGGAGGTTTTTCCAAGTAGCCTCATTTGGTTCCTTCTGTCCCAAAATTTCAAACTGTGCCAAGTTTTTAAACTGTTAACGTATTTTAGTTGCATTTATTGTAATGCTTTCCATTTTGACTTTAGTGCATTTCAGATGTTCTGTTATTGTTGTAAGCTGCCTTACGTGCTGATATCAGCAGGGTATAAACCAGTGGTTCTCAACCTGTGGGTCGGGACCCCATTTGGGGTCGAACGACCATTTCACGGGGGTCGCCAAACAACGCAGTCCACCATTTTTTTCCCCTTTTCCTTAGCTGCGCTACTCCCTTTTATTCTATTGGCTTTTGAAAGCCAATAGAATAGACTCTCTTGAATAGAGTCTAATTCTATTGGCTTTCAAAAGCCAATAGGAATTGTCCAGGCTATCTCTAGCCTGCTGAGCCCGCCAAAAGTCCCATTCTGCAAACGGTGCTGCACCAGTTGAGTAGTCCTCGGCTTACGACTGGTTGGGGGTCGCGGCATTAAAAAGGTTGAGAGCCACTGGTATAAACGGACAAGCACGCAGAATGGAAAACATCTAAGACTGAAGTTATTTTTCAAATAAGCTGGACTCAGTCAAGGTTTTAAAAGATAAAACCAATACTGATTAAATCCTTCTATCCAGATTAGTAGTGTTTTACCAGATTTTGGCTTGATGAAACTTCAAATGCTTGTGGATTTTGGCTTGGTGGGTTGGTTTGATGTTTGGATAATACCTACATGTAAAAGGGTCTTTTGTAAATCATATGAGTTGGGCCATTTATATTATTACACTACTGTCATGGATTATCAATTTAATATGGCTACATGTTTGAGAGTAGTCATCGCCTCTCACCCCTGCCACCATCTTTAAGGACTAATTGCATTTTAAGTTTGGATATATTAATCACTTTTATGCACCTGTTTAGCTTCCCGGGGTGGTTATTTGCAGCCAAAGTGTGAGGTTATCTTTGCAGAGCATTTTTCATGGCAATAAAATATGAATTCATCAATGTAGCATGGCAGAATAAAAGATCCCCACAAATTTCATCCCCAATAGATTTCTAATTTCAGATTAATTCTGAAATTAATCCCAAGCACAATCAAGGCCACCATATAACAACATCTGAAAACCAATTTAATAGGCAATACAAAATAATAGTGTGGTCACTGTTAATAGAAACCCAACCGAAGATAGATAGGTAGATAGGTAGACAGGTAGGTAGGTAGGTAGACAGACAGACACACACACACACATCCTATTTTTAATAGTGCTACAAATATTTTTTGTTTCATATAAGAGTGGAATCCTAAAAGGATACCCCAAATTCATATTTCAGGGACAAAAATTGTATAGTTGCCTTTAACTCTCATAGATAGATAGATGGATGGATGGATGGACGGACAGACAGACACAAGCATTTTAAAAAAATCTTTCATGTATATAACATCATCATGTGTGAAAAATACTATGCTCACCTTTCTGAAATAATTTCATTTCTCCATTCTCTTTTTTTATTTCAGACATTAACCTGTGCTTCTTCTTTTCTTTCTGCTTTTCCTTGTCTCGTTCTGTGGTTTTCTCTCTGATGATTTCATCTGAAAAAGTACGTTCATGTTCAATAAAGATGAGAAAGTTTTTAAAAGAAATTACCCACAATCAACACAACTAATCATTTGTAGTGTGACTGAGGTATAGACTAATGCAGAACAGAAACTGGTCTTAGATCAGCACAACATTCAAAACCAGTATTTGAATGTCTTACTTCTTACAGTAGAGAGTTTGAAACCTTAGATTATTGTTAAACTATAAATGAATAAAAAGAGATAATTAACCAGAACATTGTACTTCAGAAACAGACGGACAGTCTGGTTTCACTATAGCCATCTAATTGTGTTCCTGATATTTTCAAAGGTAAGAAAAAATATTACAGGTTTCATTTACATGTATTTAGATTTTTTTAGTAATCTACAGATTGCCATTCCCTAACTAAAAACCATAACTTAATTTCACAAAATGCAAGTGCAGTGACAAGAAATTGAAATTTCTATAACCCATTAATGTACCATTTTTAAACTGCAAAGTGCTCACAATCTGCAGCACACAATCTCAACTAAAGTTCCAATTTACAGCAGATAAATTAGGTTTGAGAATAACTTTTGCAGCCTGTGCTATACTATGAACGCAAAAATATATGCGCTCTATATCCTCATGTCATTATATCTATGGAAAGTCTTAATCACCCAGGTCATGGTTGTCCCAAATGTGCTTTTCCAGAAGGCAACGAGACTTTCTTGATTTTTCTCTTGAAAATATTTTGCTTCTCATCCAACAAGCTTCTTCAGTTCTGAATTTCTTCAGTTCTGCACTTGTTCACTTCTGAACTGAAGAAGCTTCTTGGATGAGAAGAAGATACTATAAGGGGATGTTCTAATTAGTTGATCCAGTTTTGAAGCTTCTGAATTAAGCTGTTTTCCCCATGAAGATTTTGAAATGGACAGTTTTCAAAAGTTCTTGGTTGGATCGCAGTTGGGTAAATTTATAAAATGCTCACCGAACAGCAACTTCTTGTCTGTCAAGGGGATGAGCAGAGTTAATTAGTGGAAGAGATATAAAATAGATTCTTTTTCCTCAGTTTTTTCCCCCAGGATATCATTAGAAATCCCCCAAACAAAAGGGCTTATTGAACACAAGATTTCAAAGTAACGAGGATGGGAAAATATGTAATGGCATGTGCCAAAGGTCCTTTTCCTAAAAGGCAACTGAACTTTCTTGGTTCTTTTCTTTGAAAACATATTGCTTTTCTTTAACACAAGTACTTATTTGTCTTTTGTAATATAGTTCTCATCAAACTTTTAATCAATTTGGCATCTTCTTTTAGATTTTATTGGTATTCAAAAAAGAGGCTAATAGCTAATAGTAACTCACACACACACACACAAATAAATAGCACTGTATTCCCAGTAGCAACATTCAGAAAAGTAAAGTTTCTAAGTAAGTTGGCATTTTCTATTTCTTAAGGATCACTTTGGAGCCTTTAAGAATCCATTCTTACATACAAAAATGTAATGATTCTTAACCTTTCAGATTAGAGATAAAATTACAAACATTTTAAAACAGTTCTACAACTTCTATGACCAATGTATTTCAAATTCCTGTTGTAAAAGACTATGCAGTAATATTCCAATCTGTACTCTGAACTAAAAAATACTATTGTAATAGCAAATTAATCCCTAAAATAACAACCCTAGTAAAAATGACAGAATATTCTGCTGAAACTGTAAAATGATTAGCCTTTTGAAGTTTCATTGGTATAGAACAATTAATGTTTATCTCGAAACTTTAATCTTTAATTGATTTTTTTCCAATTAATCATATATTTTAACTTTTTTTACAACCTTGCACATCTACAGTATGGATTTTATGTTCTATTGGTCTTCTATTAGCAAGCAAATACTTTTTGCACAAACTTAATAATAATAATAATAACAACAACAATAAAAAGTTGGAAGGGACCTTGGAGCTCATCTAGTCCAACCCCCTGCTCAGGCAGGAAACCCTATACCATTTCAGACAAATGGCTGTCCAGTCTCTTCTTAAAAACTTGCAGTGTTGGAGCATTCACCGCTTCTGGAGGCAGGTTGTTCCACTGGTTAATTGTTCTAACTGTCAGGAAATTTCTCCTTAGTTCTAGGTTGCTTCTTTCCTTGATGAGTTTCCATCCATTGCTTCTTGTCCTGCCTTCAGGTGCTTTGGAAAATAGCTTGATTCCCTCTTCTTTGGGACAGCCCCTGAGATATTGGAAGGCTGCTATCATGTCCCCCCTCGTCCTTCGTTAAACTAGACATGCCCAATTCCAGCAGCCTTTCCTTATGTTTTAGCCTCCAGTCCCCTAATCATCTTTGTTGCTCTTCTCTGTACTCTTTCTAGAGTCTCAGCATCTTTTTTACATCGTGGTGACCAAAACTGGATGCAGTATTCCAAGTGTGGCCTTACCAAGGCCTTGTAAAGTGGTATTAATACTTCACGTGATCTTGATTCTATCCCTCTGTTAATGCAGCCTAGCACTTCTAAGAGAGTTCCACATCAGACTATAAAAGAACTCACTGAGATCTAGGGCAGGTTCACTGTCAAAGGGGATATGAAATTACTGTATCAAGAGGTCTCATCATAGGCCATTAGATCAGCCCTCTGTGACAACAATCCTTCCTCTGTCCAAGGCAACCTACTGCTAAGCAAACACATGCAATTCAATTTCAAACACATAGGTTTTATAAGCCTATTATGAACTCAGAAAAGTCTAGAGAATAAGGAAACCCTTGAAAAAATACCTAAGCCAACTAGGTATTTATTAGAAAGTTAAATTTTACTCTTTTACAAAATTGCTACAGGAAGAAATATGATCAACACTGTATCTATATGTCATTTCTTGCTTTTGACTTTAATGGTTGCTTACTGTTTTAAACTGGATGAATAAACAAAAGTAAATCAACACTCTCCTGCATGTCCCAGTCCCTTTTATCCAGCACCTGCGCATGCTGAACTTCAAATGTTTAGGGTCAAACACTGAACAACTGATCATTTCAAGATTTCAGGATATATTGTTAGATTTCTTTTGTATTTAGGGCTGCAGCATTCTATGAGTCCCACAGATCTATAGCAAAGCTGAAATTCAAGATACAGTCACAACTGACTAAAACTTAGGAAAGTCTTAAAACAATGACTTTATATGGGCATTTTAAATAATGCAAAACTTAGGAGTAAAATTTTAGCCACAATAATGCATAAGCATTTATATTCAATGAAAACATTACTGCATTTGCAGTTTAAATTCTCTAAATTCTCGTATGTGCTGTATACAAAATTAAACCATCTCAAGCATCCTTCATATTAAAATTATGCAGTTTCTTATTAGCCATAATAGCAAGCAAATATTCCCTGAAATGTAATGTTATTTACACTGCTGCATAATAGCATCTGCTTTCCATAACTTCAATTGCCTTTTTTTGAAAATGCAAAATCCTGTATGACAATCATCATCTTACATGTGACAAGAATTTCTACACAATTGGTTAAGAATGTAGAAAAAAAACCTGAGATTTGTATTAGGAAAATGAAATCTAAAATATAATAAAATAGGCTACAACCTTCTACAAATGTCTTAGTTATTGAATGTGTCCTTAGGGTAAAATAGGAGGCTCTACATTTGCTTCCTAAAACATCTACTACTGGACATTTATTTTATTTTGTCTGATGCTACACACATTTAAAAACAGGTGTATTCTCACAATTAAGTATTTGAGATACCAATGGTGAAACTGTAGTTTCAGACAACTCACTGTGGGGAAATAGTTCAGAGACAAAAAAAAAAAAAAAAGTAATGGCATCCCAACAAAAAAAGCCTAAAAAACATACCAGGACTTAATCTTCTCATTTTCTATAGGCACATAAACTCTTAACTATTCAACTGAATGTCTTTATTGCATTTAAGATTCATCAGCCTTAATGTTAAACTAAGAGCGTATATTTTGGAGGAAGTAGTAGCAAGATATTATCAGATTACAAGGAACTGAAAGATCTTTTTGAAAGAATAAATAAACCAAACAAAGCCCATGAATTTGAAGTATTATTATGAACTTAGAATAATGGGTTGCATTTACTGGACACATGGCATCCTTCAAGGCCAGTTATACATGCTGCCCTGAAAAGAAACTTTCCTGCTTTTCAGTGAGTCATTGGTTTGAATTCTTGTTACTAGTTTTGATATTTTATTGCTTGGATTAAATTGGTATTTAGATTGATGTAAGCTATCACGGGGTAAGCTTGCTGGGAACATCCTGGCATGTCACTACGTCAGGTAAACAAGAGAATAAGACATGTTTTAAAATCTCAGCACTTTCTCTATATAGTCAGTTTGTTCAGAAGCATATACAAAATTGACAAGTTTGACAGAAACATCAATGACAACACTATTTAAAAACAGTCAACTTTCTCATAAGGTGGAAGGAAATGCTACTTTAAGTGGACACCTTGGCCATAAATTTATTTAGAAACCATTAATCTTTCTAATAAGCCCAAGTGCATGCTAATATATAATCTAGTATGTTCTGGCCTATAGTCAATTATCCATACAGCATAGTTCTCAATAGGTGATACAGTAACACAACAAGTGATCCACGCCCCAGCTAGAAATTTGAATAGACTTGAAGCGTTCTATCTATTCTTTGCTTTCAAGTTGGCAAGGGTCAGGGTCAGGAGGAAGGACAAATGTAAACAGCTTCAAATACTTGGGAAGCATCATCTCAAGCGATGGGTCTTGAGGTGAAGAAATTGATTAGCAAGGTCAGCCAGGCACTTGGGTGGCTGCCTATTAGAGTGCTCAATCAATACTAACATCTGTTATCCCCACAAAGCTGAAAGTCTACACAGCTGCGGTACCTTCCCTCCCGTGTGGATGAGAGCTCTGGACACTGTAGGGAAGGCACATCAAACAGCTGGAGTAATGTCACAAGGACCCCTCTCTGATCCACCCTTGGCATTCATTGATTGACAAGAGTGTGTCTCTAACGTGAGGATCTTGGATTGTGTGGAAGCCACCAGCGTTCAGCCCTTGATTATCAGAGCTCAGATGAAATGGGGTGGCTGCATTATCACAAGGGATGGCTGTCATATGCCTTTCTAGTTGCTATCTAGTGTACTAGAGGAGGGCGTTTCAACCAGTGGTACGGGTACCACCTGTGGTACATTGGCACCTGGCAGGTGGTACGCGAGCGTCCTAGAAAAGGGGTAGCGGGGGAGGGAATGTTGCAGCATCTCCAGGGTCTTGTGATTTACATTCAGATGCTTGGCAACTGATTCCTATTTATGACGGTCACAGGGTCCCAGGGTCATGTGAAGTGACCAAAACCTGCTGCAACCAACCAGCAGATGGGGGGGGATAAAAACCAAACACCCCCACCCCACCCCTGCTGCCAATCCTCAACAGAAATGCTCACAATGAAAACCTCGGACAGGAGGAAGAGTGCCACCGGGTGGGCAGGCAAGTGTCTTGCTTGGCTGTGGCTTGGGGGGCACTTTTTTCAGTGCCATTGTAATTTCGAACAGTCACTAAGCAAACTGTTGTAAGTCGAGGACTACCTGTACTTTATCACTTTTTTCCTTTTTTGGGGGGGGTCATCAAGTTTTTGACCCCTTGCTAGGTGACTGGTGGTCCTCGGATGTTGCATATCCTAAAAGTGGTACAATGGGTGAAAAGGTTGAAAAGCCCTGTACCAGAGCTGGGGAAGAGGCCTCAAGGTTGGCCATGCAAGCACTAGAAAGATGCTGTGAGAGAGAGACCCTCCACGTTGTGAGATCCAGTCAAGGAAACTAGAAGTCGCAGCTTCTAGTGAGCCCTGTGCTATGAAGACAGGCACTGCCAAAAACTGATAAGAAACTGAACAGGCCAAAACCTTTTACCCTTACATTATTTTTCAATTTACCTAAAAGAAAACTAGTCAGGTGACAGGTCTGTGTTATTCCTTTGAATTGCTCCAGTGATTGTATCCTTCTTACCTCCTGTTCTTGCAAGCTTGGCAAACACTGACTTCTTAAAGCTAAAACTTCCAAACGACTTTGAACATTACTAGATGCAAAAAAACACCAATGATTCAGGAAGCCAGATTTGTTGTAGTCAATTAGATTTCTATAAGCCTAAAAATATTAATAGCCTTCTAGAAAGGTTAGAGAAGTGTTTTACTGTTGACTATTAAAATTAAATTTCATTTTTAATTCCAACTTAGATTTCATAAGTCAGTGTTTCCCAAACTTGACAATTTTAAGGCATGTGGACTTCAACTCCCAGAATTCCACAGCCAGCGTTGCTGGCTGTGGAATTCTGGGAGTTGAAGTCCTCATGCCTTAAAATTGTCAAGTCTGGGAAACACTGTCATAAGTGTATAGTTTTACTGAGCCAAACCAGATGTTGACAGGAGAACCATGTTTCTTCTCCCATATCTGTTTATTTCTGTTTATTATCTGTTTATTATCTGTTTATTATCCCATATCTGTTTATTTCTGTTTATTATCTGTTTATTTCACGAATAAAGCAATATTCACTGTTTTCTTGAAAGAAACATGTGGGAAGGTAATACCTTCTTCACATTATTTTGCTGCTCTTTAAAGCGATTTTTTTTCCTGAAGGAAACCTTACCTTCCTGTCCCTTCTACCATAAAGCTGGGTTTGAAAAAAAAGGCTTTAAGAGCAAGATGAACAGTGGATAGGTCATGTTAATTAGTTTTAGATAAACTATACAGACATACAAATATAGTATCCATGGTTATTAGCCAACACTTATTTCATCCTTTCATACTAGATGTTTCACTGATAAATACCATGAGGTTCTAATAAAGTAAGTTCTCCTTAGAATAGTCTTTAGCAAAAGCATCTAATTCAGTGGTTCTCAACCTTTCTAATGCCGCGACCCCATAATACAGTTCCCCATGTTGTGGTGACCCCCAACCACTTATACATCACCGGGTGCCAGGGGTGTGGCCAAAGAAAAGGGGGGGGGAAATGGCGGACAGCCTTGTTTGGCGACCCCCGTGAAATGGTTGTTCGACCCCAAATGGGGTCCCGATCCACAGGTTGAGAACCACTGATCTAATTTGATTACTTCTTTCCAAATCATACTGAAAAGTTACCGTATGAGAAATACTTGGATGGAAATTCAAAAATTTAAGTACAGAATTTCAAGACCTCCTAACATGTTAAAAACTGGTACATTTGAAAACACTGCCCATCTCTTTATTCCAGCTAAAATGGCTGCCATTAAAATCCTGGCTTACACCTGCATAAATCAGCTGGTATCAACTTAAAACAAAGTTCAATTCCTTTTCTGTTCAACAATAATTGAGTATGGGAATCCATGTGATGTTCTTGGAAATTTTGCCACTTAATCAGAAAAGAGCATGCACGTTATTTAAGATTACATTACAGGGTCCATTTTTTTTTATAGCACTTATGTTTTTTTAACTTTCAAACTTCAAGTTCAAAAGTACCAAATCTTGTTTCTTTTCCTCTGAGGTTGATGCAATGTTCAGCTGGATTGCCCAAATTCCTTAAGCTACAGTGGTGACAAAAAAAGCTGCATCCATACTGAAGGTAAATTTGTAGCAGTTATTCAAGATAACACCAGCCAGCTTCAGACTTATTTAACAACCAGGACCTGTATATTGATTGAATGAACCTTTATTATTAAAGTATAACATGTATACAGTGAGATTGGCCGAGCCTCCCTCCATGCCCCCCCACTGCAACTCACAGTTACTACAAACCCCCAACTTATTACACCCTATGAGCTAATTGCACATCACAGCGGCCTCACAAGTAGATCAGTAGATCTTAATTCTGAACAAAAACCTCCCCAAATTTAAGGCTTTTACATCCTCTCTCACATACCTACATCCTGCCAGCACTGAATTTCAAGTTCATTCTTTCCAGCTTCTGTAGAAACGCCCCCATTAGAATGTCAAAACCACTGTGGACTCGGATAGCAAAGAATCACTTTTTAAAAACTTGATGTTACTAAAGTGTCTTATATAAAGAAACACAAGTCATTCCTTTCTTGCTCACTAGAAATAGTATTTTAAACCCAGAAGCATCCAGTGCATAATTAGGGGGCATGGCTGTCCATATGCTTCCGTATCTCAAAGGTACTTTTTTCCAAAAAGACAACTGGACTTGAAGGTGGGGAAAAAAAATAAAACTTTGATTTTGGGTTTTACCGATTAGATAAGTTGATGGGGATGATGGGAGACTCTCCATAGACATATGCTTCCCTGGCACTCTAATATTTGCTATTTATTTGGTAGATTTATTGGCTGCCTATCTCGCCCTGAGGCTTCCCATGCAGAAGGGGCCGAAGTTACCCCAGATGTGGGTATACACATAATTTTGGGGGAGTCATGTTTATGCAGTGTATATATGGGAGGGGGTTATCCTTTGCGAGCTGTATGCAACGAAATCTCATTTTAATATATGCAGATTAGTGTACATTTAAAATGACAGTAAAGTTATTCTATTCTATTCTATTCTATTCTATTCTATTCTCTATTCTATTCTATTCATTATATCCTTGACTGTGAAAGCTGGACTATAAGAAAGGCTGAGCGCCAAAGAATGGAGGCCTTTGAACTCTGGGGCTGGAGAAGACTCCTGCGAGTCCCCTGGACTGCAAGGCGTTCAAACCGGTCAGTCCTAGAAGAGGTCAACCCCGACTGCTCTTTAGAAGGCCAGATCCTGACGTTGAAACTCAAGTACTTTGGCCCCCTAATGAGAAGGAAGGACTCACTGGAGAAGAGCCTGATGCTGGGAAAGATGGAGGGCAATAGAAAAAAGGGACCACAGAGAATGAGGGGGGCTGGATGGAGTCCCTGAAAAAGGAGGCCTGAGCTTCAATGGGCTCCAGAAGATGGCAGAGGACAGGAAGGCCTGGAGGAACGTGGTCCATGAGGCCGCGATGGGTTGGACACGACTTCGCAACTAACAACAACATCCTATATCCTTATTCTATTCTATTCTACATCCTTATTCTATTCTATTCTATTCTATTCTATTCTATTCTATTCTATTCTATTCTATTCTATTCTACATCCTTATTCTATCCTATCCTATCCCCTTATTCTATCATTCTTTTCTATGCTATTCGGACGTGTCAACCCCCCCCCACCCGGCCCATCAGGGCAGCTGCCACGCAAGGCAGCTTCCCACACCCCCTTTTTGCCTCCTCGCCTCCTCTGCAAAGGGGACCCACCGACAGCTCCCCCCATTCCCAGGCGGGGACCCCACTAAATAGCAACCAGCCCCCCACCTCTTCCCTGCAATGGCAGACGCCCCCTTTCCTCCCCCTCCCCCTCCCCCTCCCCCAAAGCGGAAAGCCATTTTCCAACCCCGCCACCTCCGCTTCCCCGCCTGCCCCCTCCCCTCTCTCTCTCTCTCTCTGCGGGGCAGGGGTCCTCACCTCCCGGGCGATGGTGGTGCCGATGGTGGCGCTGCTGGAGGAGCATCTTCAGGTCGCCGCCGTTCTCCTCCCGGCCGCTTCCCGGGGACGCCGCGGTGCCGGCCAGGGCCCCGGCTCTCCGCCTCTCCTTCTCGCGCTTCTCCTTGGGCCGCTTGCTCTTGGCCCCGACGGGCCCTTCCACGCCGGCCAGGCAGAGGGGCGGCGGCGGCAGGAGCAACTTGGCGGGCAGCTGGGGCTGGAAGACGAAGGAGCCGCCGCTCGCCGGGCCGCCGCTTCCGCCGCCTGAGGAGAAGGCGGCCAGGCTCCACACGGCGGGGCCTGCCGGGGAAGACGCCACGGGGATGTGAGGCGGCGGCGGCGGCGGCTGCCTGTGGCCCTCGCCGTTGAGGCGCTTGGCCGCCTTGAAGCCGCGCTCGTCCGCCTTGAGGCGCTTGGCGGCCGGCGGCTGGAGCCCGCGCGGGGAGACGCGGGCGTCGACGGCCAGAGCCGAGGGCGGCAAAGGCGGCGGCGCCGCCACCGTCGCCCCTCGCACGGGACTGGGCAGCTCCGCCATTTTGCGATCCGCTTCTATTTACCTCACAGCGCCCGCCGCTGGAGAGAACCGGGAGGGGCGGGGCGTGGAGGCAGGGAGGCGGGCCGAACGTGGCCAGCGCCACTTTCGGCGCCCAATAGGAGCGCGGCCCGCCTCGGAGAGACGGCCCGCGCCGCCAATGGCGGAGGGAGGGAGAGAGAAAGAGCGGTTGTCGGCGCTGAGGCGCCTTCTGTGAGAGGAAACGGGGAGAAGCGCGGGCGAGGCTCCGCGGCTCTGGCCGGCGGGACGCCGGGAAGCGGAGGGTGGCCTCGCCGGAGCATAGGCGAGCTGGCGTGGCTCCCTTTCCCCGCCAAGGAGGACCCCCGGCGGGAGAAGCTCCCTCCTCAGAGCCCCCATCCCCAACCGCCAGCGGCGGCCATCTTGAAGAGGTGCCTGAGCGAAGTTGGTGCCTCGGCCGGGAGAAGCGGCGGCGACCCGCCCCGGAAAGGCCCGGCAAGCCGGGAGCGCGGAGTAGGGGCTCCAAGGCCGGCCTGCGGGAAGGAACCTGGGAGAAAGAGGGGAAATTGCTCGGGGCCCGCTTCCGTCTGCAAAAAGCGAATAAACTCTTCCGCCGGCGAAGCTGGTTTTTTCGGTCCCCGGAAGATCCACGCGACGCTGGGCCCGTCTTGCTTTCGGTCGGCCTCGGGTTGCGGAAAACGGGCGGCCTGCGAAGCCGCCCCCCCCCCCTCGCCGGGAGAACCGCAGAGCCGGCTTTTGTAAAGGCGCCTCGCGGCTTACGGCGAAAAATATCTGGGCCCGCGTAACCTTGTTTTAAGGGAAGCATTAAGTCGACGTGGGAATAGGAGAGAGAGAGATGTTTTTGCCTCAGTTGGTCTTTGGAAGGGGCGTAGCTAGCCGAGGCTGTGCAAACTCACCATAAGCTGCGGAGTATTGAGAGGATTCCTATGGAAATCGAGAATCGCTATAGAAGATGGCTCTAAAATATAAGATCGTTCTGTAGAAATTGAGAATTGCAATACAAGATGATTCTAGAAGTTGAGAATTGCAATACAAGAGTTTTAAAATACAAGATAGTTCTATAGAAGTGGAGAATTGCAATACAAGATTCTATAGAAGTTGAGAATTGCAGTACAAGATGATTCTATAGAAGTTGAGAATTGCAATACAAGATAGTTCTAAAATACAAGATGGTTCGATAGAAGTTGAGAATTGCAATACAAGATAGTTCTAAAATACAAGATGATTCTATAGAAGTTGAGAATTGCAATACAAGATAGTTCTAAAGTACAAGATGGTTCGATAGAAGTTGAGAATTGCAATACAAGATAGTTCTAAAGTACAAGATGGTTCGGTAGAAGTTGAGAATTGCAATGCAAGATGATTGTATAGAAGTTGAGAATTGCAATACAAAAACGTTCTATAGAAATTGAGAATTGCATTGAAGTCTTGGCAGGCACAAGCTACTATGTAGTTTGTTCAGTCTGGTATCATGTGAAACTTACTATGTATCTTTAAGGTCCCTTTAACTTGCATGCCATATAACAAGTTCAATCATGCACTTTGTGGGTCAATTTCCAATGACTTCCCCCTTTCAAAGCTCCCTTAGCAAGGTGTGGAGCCTGAGAGATTTTATGGATAGGGGAAGCCCCCTAAATTAAGATTGTGATTGATTTTGCTTTCTGAATGGTCTGCCCATTTCCATCAAGGGCTTGCCTTGGGGGCAGCAGGGAATGGGGATGTACTTGTTGCTCTATTGCCCTAGAGATTTTTTTGAACTTGGGTCACCCAGAATTTCTCCAAATAGCCTGCAACTTTTGAGCAGGCCTCAAAATAAGTTCAACTTGCTCTGTGTTGTTTCTTCGGACATAGAGGATATCTGGTCTTTGAGAATTGGCCTCTGTCCAGACTAACAATTGCTGTTAAGTCAATAGAATATCAGAATAACAGAGTTGGGAAGGACCTTGGAGGTCTTCTAGTCCAACCCCCTGCTGAGGCAGGAAGCCCTGTATCATTTCAAACAAATGGTTGTCCAATAGCCCTGGTTAGCTTCTTCATACCTTGCCTCAGCTATGTTCTAAACTGCCCTCTTGGATTTTTTTTTTTTTTTTTTTGACACCCTGGTGATATTGCTCATTGGTGACAAACATAACTTAAGGGTAACACTAGATATTGCACGCACGCACACACACCCACACCTCATGACCTTATCTTTTCTGCCTGTGAAGATCACATCAAGTTTGTAGAAATCAGGAGAGATCCATCCAGGTCCAGGGCAACATCACCTAACCTTTGCCTCTCCTTGTTCACCCACTAGAAGGCCCAAGTTAGGACTAACCAAGGAGAGAAGCAACCTAGAACTATGGAGAAATGTCCTAACAATGAGAGCAATCAACCAAGGGAATAGTTTGCCTTCAGAAGTTGTGGATGCTCCATGACTGGAGGCTTTCAAAAAGAGACTGGACAATCATTTGCTCAAGCAGGGGGTTGGGCTAGAAGACCTCTGAGATCCCTTCCAACACTATTCTATGTTCTATGACTTCCTGTTCTTGCTTTTCTTCCCAGGGGGAAGAGCCATAGATGTTAACCACCTTATTAGGCCCTGACCCAACCAGGGGTCCCTTGAGATCTCCAGGTAATTAATGGCACCTGAGTATTTGGGTAGGTAAGATATTATCTGATGAAGCCACTATAGCAGCCCAAATGTTGAGGTTTAGAAGACTTTTAAATGTTTGAAGTGAAAAATATACTGAAACTTTTCAAGGATCAGAACTATAAACTTGAAGTTTTAACTAATAGAAATGTATTACATAAACAGAAGGACTAGTTTAACAAGTTTTTCAAAAGATACTATAGGAACAAAAGTATTAACTGAAAAATGAGACCTGACCTGGGGAATTAAGACGATTACATGAACATTTCCAGTATTTCTATCTCTTGGAAATCTGTCAGATGAATCTAGCATTCTATAATACAAAAAGTTTTTGTTAACTGCATTACTATGTGAAACTTTATAGGATAGAATTATGAAACTTTCACAGCAGGTGAAATATGTTAAGATTTGTATTCATACTAATAAATTCCACATCAAGCAATGAGTACTGAATCACCACTTTCCTCCAGATTGCAAAAACAACCCATTTCCAAAGACATCATTTGAAAGTACCCCATTTATTTAAGGATTGGAAATCCTATGTATAAACTTTATGGTCCAGCAACACAAATTCTTCCAGGAACTATAATTAGCTTTGTGATGTTGTGTTTATATAATAATGTAGGTGTTGCAATTGCTCAATATAATTTTATTCAACCTTCACAATCTAGATTGTTAAAGTTCCTCTTGTTCCTTTGTGTTTTAAACTTGCCCTGGTTTTTGTTGCAAGATTAAAAGTTCATATTCTTTAGTTATCTTAATGGTGTAATAACAGTATTAGCTACATTTATATTTCTGTTATATTTGCAGGAACTATTGGAACTCAGAATGCTTAAATAAAAGTTTTGTTTAAAAAAACGTTTTGAGGTTAACTTTGAAACTCAGAATAAGTTTTAGTATAAGTACATAGAAGCGTTTGAAAATAAGCGTAATTCATGAGAAGGCATAGATAAGGAAGTAATTTTATTTTAATATTAAAACTCGAGATTTTTACTATTGGTGCTTTTGAAAAGTTATATTGTTCTAAACACACAATGTCCGTGATACCATCTTTTAGTATGTTTCATATTCTAAAAAAAAATTGTCTTATAAGTATAATAGTGGATATTTTCAAACTGAGCTGTAGTGCCGATATAAAAATTTAGCAAACAGCACTACAGTTTTCCAGACTATTATCTCATTATTCAAGGCAAATGGGGAAAAAGGGTTTTGACTGTTTAGGTTCTCTTTATCCAATTTTAGCACTTATGGGGAAAACAGATGACATTTTAAGTCATATTTAGGCAGAAATCATGGAAATTCAAAAGGGTTTGCAAACCTTTAAGCACCACTATAAATATATTCCTAAAACATGTCTTTTAAAAAAAAAATTTACTTGGAAAATTCAGGAAGGATAGACTAAAATTACCTTTACTTGGACTTTGGACAGTGCTAATAAAATTAGCATGTTACTATGACAGATGTACTGTACCTGTGACAGTTTTGAGCTGTTCTAGAATATATTTTCCGAGGTAGGCAAGCAATGAATTTGTTTTTTAAAACTCACAACAGTCAGTTGAAATATCAGTTGCTGGAAACAAGAGCTGCACTACTTGAGCAGCAAATTGCAATTAAGGGAACCATGATCTCCCACCAGGTTTTGCTGGAGAGGAAAAAAAAAAAGCACACTAGCTTGAGGGAAGAAATCTACATTGTTTGGTCATAGCATATGTCCTCAGTACCCAGATTGTAAGCACCCTCTTGATTTTCTGAAATGCAGCCTCCAGCCACATAAGATATTAGTACACTTAAATTCAGATATTTGTCTACGTAGAACCGTTTAAGCCAGTACTTCCAGTGGCAAAACCATAACATCCCAATTTTGTGTGTATGAATGAAAGAGAAATATATGCATACACATTGCTGAATATTTCAATAAAATAATTAGCTTTGAATTAGATTAATAACTGCGTGTCTTACACTACAGCAGACCAAAAATCAAATGAAAATGCCATCATGTAGGAACTATACATGTTCCTAAAGAATTTGCCTGAACACGGTAGTTCAATTAATGTTTGTAAGGCAGTGGTTCTCAACCTGTGGGTCGGGACCCCATTTGGGGTCGAACGACCATTTCACGGGGGTCGCCACACAACGCAGTCCGCCATTTTTTTCCCCCTTAGCTGTGCTACTCCCTTTTATTCTATTGGCTTTTGAAAGCCAATAGAATAGACTCTCTTAAATAGAGTCTAATTCTATTGGCTTTCAAAAGCCAATAGGAATTGTCCAGGCTGTCTCTGCCCTGCTGAGCCCGCCAAAAGTCCCATTCTGCAAACGGTGCTGCACCAGTTGAGTAGTCCTCGACTTACGACCGGTTGAGTAGTCCTCGACTTACGACCGGTTGGGGGGTCGCGGCATTAAAAAGGTTGAGAATCACTGTTGTAAGGGAAAAGGATAGCTTGCTAACCCAAGTACCAATTTTAGAAATCTTGACCATTATCTGTATTTTTTGAGAGTTGCCAGCCTTCAGAAATTGCCATGGACTTATAATGAAAAGAGTAACTGTCAACTCTATTTAGGTACTTTAGTTTTGATTGCTATTCTTAGGATGTGATCACTAGCATGCAAATCAAAGAGGGGGCAGGGAAGGGACTTCGAGCAAAAAATATTTTACAACTAGAAGGACATTTAAGCCCAAGTCAGTAATGCTACTTCTAGAATATATATGAATAAATCATTAATTCATTTCTTGAAGAATCCCTACTATAAACAAAGTGGTAGGAGGCCTTTTGGGAAGTTGACAGTGAAGATTGTCAAGAAAGAGTGATGCAGTAAGAATGTTGGTACTTTCAAATTTTTACATAAAACTGTCTTAGGGAAAATATTTTACTATCATTATTAGTCTATAATTTTAATCCTGATGATACTTACCAAGGCTTTTCTTTCAAAAATTCTAAAGATTTAAATTGAAATACAATATAAAGGATAACTTAAAGGATTTTAAAATATTATTTTACTGACAGTTCAAATATGTTGATAACACTAGTCTCTATAGGTAAGTTGTTCATGCGAAAAAATCTGGTCTTTCAAGGCACTTACGGAATATCAGTGACTAGATGAAAACCAGGACAAATTAGGATTGACAGTTGAAACAGTATATAATATAAAAATAACCTTTTGCTTACAATTTACAAAATGTATTACAATCTTCATCTCTGCTTTTCTGTAATTCTGAATGTGCACCCAACATTTTCTTTTTTAAAAAAAACAAACTATTTTCTAAAACATTAGGGCAAATAATTTACAAGGTACACAACTTTAGTTCATGCAGAGATTTCTTACACCTTCTGTTAATACTTTATGATTGCAGCTTTATCAAATTATATACCTGGCTTGCCCTATACATACACAAAATAAAATGTACATGGTAATCAAACTTTTGCAACAAAAAAAAAAGTCCATAAACTCAATTTGTCAAAAGTTTCACCATATTAACATGTCTATAAACAGTGTTTTAACAGGTTTAAAAGACATTAAGGCAATAATACTTGAAGTAACAAACCATAAGTAATACTTTTTAAAAAAAAATGTAATAAGGCAGATTGATGGCCCCAGCAAAAAGTTTAAGTTTGAAGTATAGAATCCACCATTTTGAATCTTTAATATTTGTGTAGATGTATACAAAAGTGTACCATTGTGTAGCTATATGTACACTGATAGTTCCCCAAAAAAATAAAGTGTTGGAATACTATGGATCTTGTTCAGTGGCACTTGAATTTTCCAGTATAATTTAATATGTATCCATTCGTTCTCGCATCATGTCCATTCTGAAGGAGGATCTCTTGGTCCTTTTGGTCTTCCACAGCGGCTACCAAACCCTGAAGGACAACAAATCCATTAAAAGAAAGCACCTCACTAACAATATATGCTTAGCGAAACCTTCACAACTTTTGTAGCCAATTTAGCACATGCTGCTACCGTGACAGTATAATTTTCAAAGAGCCACGATAGGAGGTGTGGGAGACCTCACGAAACAACCCAAAGATCAAAGGAACGGAAACAGCATAAGCCAACACATCCGTTCACCCAGAAACTTAAGGTGGGTGGCTTCTCTATCGGAAAGTAAGTAAATCCCACCAAAATTCACACTGAGGAGCATCAGCATCTTTGCCACAAATGTCTACAGGGCAGAGTAGCTTCAAAACTATAATAAGATCATCTGAAGAAAAGAAAAAAAGTACATTTACTATTTGGAAAATATGAAGACGCTTGATTTCTAAAATTAAGCGAATGTTCTGTTTCTTGCTAAACCACAAGCAGGTTAATTTCACTTTATTATTTCTAATGGGAGGGAAACCTAAAACTAAAATATTTTCCCCTACAGTTACTGATTCCCCAATAATATTCCTGCTTTAAATCCTGCCTAACAATAATCTTCTAAAAATCTGTAAATTTAGTATCTTATGCTAACTTGGTCCCACCATCCCCACGAACATACAATCCGAGGGGCCAACATGAGGCAGCTGTCTCATTGCAAATAGGGCTTGGATGACATCTCGCACTTTTGAGGCCAATGAGAAAACACAGCACCATTTAAATTGTGTAATACCAGAGGATGCCAGCCTTTCTGGGTTGGTGGCCTGGTGGGAAAGGGAGCGACAGCCACCTTTATGGCGCACACACGCAAATGTGGCTGCGTGCGTGTGCACACAAATAGGGCTGTGAGCATGTGCGCTCTGCGAATGGGGCTGCTTGCGCCGGTGAGAGGCTTGTGGCTTGCCCGGTGCTGGTGAGAAGCTTGTGGCTCGCAGCTCAGCTAGCACCAGCGAGAGGCTCGCGGCTCAGCTAACGCTAGGCCAGCCACTCATGCGGCCCAGTGGCCACAGCCCGGTAGCCCAGAGGTTGCGGACCTCTGGTGCAATGGACACAAACGCAGTTAATGCTATTTTTCATTCCATTCTCCAGGGGTTAAAAAGTCAGGCAGAATAGTAATCAGCACTTTACCAATATCCATAGCCTCAATTGCAATGTCTGCTGAGGGCTGTCCTTTAGGAGTTGGACTGGCAGAAGATGGTTGAGGTATTAGATCAGCTGGAGATTTGTCTCCCAGCTCTGAGTTATCTGCAAGAAAAGATACCATTAATAATGGGCAAGTTTTCAAAGCCGAGCATTAAGATCTAGATTCGCGGATCTACCGTGCCAGATATTGCAGCGATCTCGATTTTAATACCTCACTTGCATGCAAGCAAACTTTTCTTACATTTAAAAAAAAAACTTTTACGAGTAAGCAGGGTAGTAAAATTTGAAAAATGTATCTCTTAGATTGCAAAAACACTTCCTTTCTTATCAAGGAAAATTCTGGTTAATGAGAGCTAAGCATTTTCAAGCACCTCCTATAATCTCACACCAGAAGCCATAAAATGCCCAGAGCTTCTGCAAGCAAAGGAGCATCATTTCCCACCGCACCTATGGAAGTCAGCTACCAATTTTGCAAAACTGATTTAAATCTTAAGTCTTGGGGGGTCCGTGGCCATGTTCCTTGACCACAAAAGGTATTTAAAGGGGGTCCGTAGTGGAGAAAAGGTTGAGAACCACTGTCCTACAGCATTGCCCTCATCTTTTTCTTTTTTTAAAAAAAAAAATCTTAATTAGATCTCATTGCTACCTCGAACGAACATAATTTTCTATTTGTCAGTGTAAGTTTCATAAAAGAAATAGGGGTTGGACTAAAATACCTCCAAGGTCTCTTTCAACTCCTGTTATTCTGTAAACAACAAGTAAACCCGTAGCCATGAATGAGTAATGAACAGCAAAGCCTTCTAAACCCCAAATACAGTAGGAAATCTGAGTGAAAGCTATTAATCTGAGCGTGGGAGACTTAAATCTTTCAGCTTTTCCCGGTTCTTTTTTCTTGTTCTTTTGGAACAGCAGAATTTTGAGTTCCAGTTCTTTGGCATCATAGTAGAATGACGTCAAACTCGCAATGTCACATGACGTGTCGTGACGTATTGCGACTTTTTTTTCCGTTGCCGGCAATGCGGTGGGCGCGGTTTCGATATGACACATCCGGACCGCGGGCCGGCAGTTTGACACCCCTGAGTTTTTTTTTCTTCTTTAGCCTGTAGTTTAGTACAGACTTACCAAATGTGCACTTTAATGAAGTAAGTAAACTCATTTGCAAGGATTCTTGGCTACAGCCCCAATTTTTTGTGATGCATTTTAAAACATTCTGGGAAAAGTGCTTTCAAGAATAAGCCTTTTAGGAAAAAAGTATTCTTAGATGAGTTAAAACGGAGTAGAATATTGTAAAATTGCAAGCTCCTGCAGAAAAAAAAAAGTAAAACTAGGAAATGGAGAAACTAAACAAAATGGAAATAATTTGACTGTTTCTACTCCTTTACTATGTTCTCGTTTTCCCCAAACCTTGGGTTTAGCTGGGGGGGAGGGGAGCTTGTTGGATATATTGTTATTAGTATTGCTTTTTAATATACAGTAATTGAATTTTATCTTGCTTTGGTCTATATTGGATATTTATGGTAATATATTGTGAGCTGCCAAGAGTCATTTGGAGTTGGGTGGTAAAATAAATTGTATACACTCACCCTCTTCATTGGCCTATCACAATCTAACTGTATGCCCCCTCAGGCAGTTACTGTTTATAACCCAGTTTCCTAACTAAACCAACGTAAGTAACTGCATTATTCAGGCAATATTTCTTTAGCTTCCATTCACACTTCCTAGAGGTTCACCCAGTAAAGGCTTAACAATTAGTAACAATAGTTTTCCTTTCCATGTATAAGTGGAAATGCTTTCTATTTATGCACCAGAGTTGACTTCATATAGTTCTGTAGCTACACAATTCCAAACCCACAACAGTCTGAATTGAATTTGATTAGCGAATTGTGTTCTTTAAGCTCTTAGCTGGCTTACCAAGCTGTGAAGACCCAGTGATTTTCATTCCCTGTTAACATAAAAATACAAAAAAGAACTGTGGTTTCATGGAAGAGAGCTAAATGCACATACTGGAATCATAAGCATTATATATTCCAAAATAAGAGAATTTCCGCGGCTCGGCATTGAACTACGGAGTTCCTGGTGCTCTCTGAATTCGGTTATTTGCAGATGTTTTGTTATCTAACTAGGTAAAAGAGAAGAAGAGTCTTGGTGGCGCAGAGGTTAGAATGAAGTATTGCAGGATAATTCTGCCGACTGCCAGCAGTTTGTTTCTGACCAGCTCAAGGTTGACTCGGCTCGTGTGAGTTAAGTGTGGGGTTTGCTCTCTGTTTCTATAGCTTCTCCTGCCTATTCATTAAACAGGAAGCACACTTAACTTATGCTGATGATATTACCTAGTTGGATAATGAAACATCTGCAAAAAGAAAAAAAGTTAAAGTACCTGCAAACACGCTAGAATTAAAATAAAGCAGCTATTCCATATTTTTGCCCTCGTTGTTGAGCTAACTGATGGGTGAATGTCTAAGATTAAAACTATCATAAAGTGCTTTAATGGCTAATATGTGCTGGGCTTCAGGGCTTAGTGACCATGACCCCCAACCTTTTGGGGACCAGGGACCGGTTCTGTGGAGAAAGCTTTTCCCACGGACCAGAGTGCGTGGTTTTGTGTGCCACCTGCATCCCATGGATGGGGCTTTCTTTGTTCGTGCAGACCGGTTGCTGGCATGCCGCGGACCGGTAGCAGTCCACAGACCAGGGTTAGGGATCCCTGATTTAGAAAACAGAGTTCAAGACACTTGGCTCTAAAGACAGTAGCCTAGTCAGTTTCCCGTGATGTTTGCAGTCACAGTTGCTGGCAAACATCTGGAAATCTGTTTCCTAGATCTCAGTCAACATTGAAGCCCAACACAGCTTAACATGAAAACTACCTTTTATCCTATCATCACTGGATTAAAGGTTTGTTGTTATTAGTTGCGAAGTTGTGTCCGACCCATCGCGACCCCATGGACAACATTCCTCCAGGCCTTCCTGTCCTCTGCCATCTTCTGGAGTCCATTTAAGCTCACACCTACTGCTTCAGTGACTCCCTCCAGCCACCTCATTCTCTGTCGTCCCCTTCTTCTCTTGCCCTCCATCTTTCCCAGCATTAGGCTCTTCTCCAATGAGTCCTTCCTTCTCATGAGGTGGCCAAAGTCCTTGAGTTTCAACTTCAGGATCTGGCCTTCTAAAGAGCAGTCGGGGTTGATCTCCTCTAGGACTGACTGGTTTGATCACCTTGAAGTAATCCTAACTCCGCTCTGTTCTGTCCTTTCGCCCTAAAACACTTTAAAGTTTGGTTCAAAGAGCTAAGGCAGTTTCTTGAAGAATAAAGGAAGGACAGACTATCCTTCCATTCCATTTATCAGATTCAGAACCACATGGCTATTACTCCACAAAGGACATATTCAAGCTGTCTATAATTACCCACCACAAATTCCCTCAGCGAACAATTCATAAATCAAGGGATCACTTAGGAAGCCGCCAAACAGCCATTATTTACACACACACACACACACACACACACACACACACACACACACACACACACACACCAGACAGCATATTCCCAAAGGCCATTACCAGTATCTTATTCCTATGCTGTGTGTTTCTTTCTCTGTATTATCGTACTTACTGTACATTTTGGTTGTTCAGAGGTGTTCTGGTCTTGTAACAAATTCCATTCAGCCGACTGTTGAAGAGCAGGACTTTTTGTCAAAGCTGTGACTAAAAAAATTTAAAAAAAAAACAAAAACAAAAACAAATTACTTCTAAAAGAAGTAACCTCCATAAAACGTTCGCAGTTGCATTTTAAAACTAAACAAAGCTGCAGTGCGGAGACCAGACATGGAGCTCTGCTTTCTAATTCAACTTTTTCCAGCTGCAGGAAAGTCTCTATCAGCTGAATCAAGAGGAACTGTTTAACACAGGGGTCTTGAAACTCGGCCGTTTGATGACTTGTGGACTTCAGCTCCCAGAATTCCTCAGCCAGGCGTGCCTGGCTGAGGAATTCTGGGACTTGAAGTCCACAAGTCATCAAACGGCCGAGTTTCAAGACCCTGGTTTAGAAAGTTTGCATTTGGCTTTTTTAAAAAAACCTTGTTGTTAAAATAGTAAACAATGGTTTGTGTGGTGACTTGTACCCAGAGTTCTCACTCCTTAGATGTGTAGTTAAGCATCAGATCCAAGGTAGCAGCGGTTCCCTCAGTGCAGGGGTCTTCAAACTTGGCCCTTTGATGACTTGTGGACTTCAACTCCCAGAATTCCTCAGCCAGGCATGCCTGGCTGAGGAATTCTGGGAGTTGAAGTCCACAAGTCATCAAAGGGCCAAGTTTGAAGACCCCTGGTTTAACAGAAGGAGCCTCAGCAGATTCCACACGTGATCTATTCAACAGAAGCTATAATCCAGCAACCTAACTAAGCGAATAGGCGAGGGCCATTTCCCTTCAACCATTTGACCCCAATCCTGCATTCTGCACGTGCACTTCCAGTGCAAGGTCAAACTCACCCTGTTGACTTGCTAGCACAAGCAATTCCAGCGTTCTTTCTGGCAAGGTGGGAGAAAAGTCATCGTTCGCCCCTGCAATTCGAGTTGAATAAAACTTGTCAGTGAGCAGGGACGGCCAGGAAACCTTAGTCAGATCGCCTAAATATTTAAGTAAGGGATTCTATAATGTACCAATGAAATGAACTTTAGAGCAGTGGTTCCCCAACCTTTCCGGCTTGGTGGACAGGCAAAATGGGGGGAAAGGAGATGGTTCTATGTGAGCAGCAGGTGTGTGCAGCTCTATTTGTGCAAGCGGCAGGCAGGCACACCTGCCGCTCAAGCAAGTGAAGCTACAGTAGTGAAATGTCTGCAAGAAAAACAGCCAAGCTCAGAGAGCACCAAGGACCCCACAAGGCTTAGCCGTGCGTGAATCCTTCTAGTCAACGTTTCTGGAGACTCCATCAAAGGCTGGAACGAGGCCTCTTCGTAATATATATCACTTGGCCCAGATACATTATTTGAACATCCAGGCTAGCTGTGTGCTGCATTTGAAGTGCAACAATGCACTAAGGTTTGCGTTGGTGGAGAAGACACAGTGCCGCCTGCAATTTGGGGTGTGGTGGTCGTAGCCACGTCCCTGTCTGTGGACTGGCCCACGCAAACTCTTTAGGTTTTCTCAGCAGTAGCTACAGTACAGTAGTGGCCAAAATTGTGGAAACCTTTTGGGAAAAGTGTATTTTTGAGGTTTGATGGCTGATAAAACCGCTTTTTTTTTGGAGTAGTACCATAAAATTATATATCAATGGAAAGATAATTTAATCAAGAGTGTAATGCAACGTAGTTTGTTCAATTATCTGTGCTGTATTCTATGAAAACTTATAGCCAAATAACCAGAAAAAGGAAGCACAACTTGCTTAGGTTGATCTCAGGTAGCTTTCCTTCATCCGATGGTAACCAATGAGCGTGAGTGTTTAGGGAGCCAATCGGGTGTCGTCTTGTTTTGGCCATGAGCCAATCAGATCACAGTAGGATCCGGTGATTGATGTCACGTATTGAAGGCTGAGAGGAGGACATTTGTCAGTGTGTTATGCGATGGCTATCAAGTTGGTTGGGTTGTTTTGTGTTCTTTCATTGAGTGAACTTGTAAAACGTAATAAAATTAAAGTAATGGTGCAAAGAGTCGACTGGTCGCCCAGAAAGGGATGTAAAATAGTATTATTAAGTGAACAAGGCTACAGTCATAAAGAAATTAGAAGAAAAATGGGTAGAAACCTAACCAAAGGTGGCATTTCTGCTGTACACTTTTCCCAAAAGGTTTCCACCATTTTGGCCACTACTGTATGCACGCACTCGCCCGCCACCTGTGCAGCCTGGTTCCAAACGGACCCCCGACCAATATGGGGCCATGGCCTGGGGATGGGGGAACCCCTGCTTTAGAGTGATGCCTCCTATTATACTTGCTATGATTTACTAATTCACTTTGCAAGACTGCCGTTTCACAGAGTAAAACTGTAATCACTTAATCTCCAAGGAACCCGAGCCTTTCACCAAGCTAATGATCAAATTAGCTGAGGATTTAGGCAAAATTTAAGACTGGCAAGGAAAGGGGATTTGTCCGTAACAATCCTGCCTCCTGTGCTCATCCCGGCAGGAGAGATTAATTTATCCTGAACCTGAGGGAGGGGGCCCCAAAGGGCTGCTTTCCACTTGATGGAGGGACCCCCTCCCTCGCCAGTGAACATCAATTCACAAACCAGTTAAAAGCTGAGCTATTCCACAGGGTCATTTGGCAGTTAAAACTGCCTGTGTTGGTAGAACCCAAGGCTGGCGTATCTAGTCATGCTGTTTTTAAATTACTTTTTGATTTCACAGTTCAGCTTTTGCTGTTGCAGACTGCCATGAGTTACCTGATTTGGGGACAGGCTGACCAGGATTACTCCTTTTTATATACTCGTGGCTAACGTGGATGTTGCTTATCTCTAGGCGAATGGTGGGTAGACGTTGTTTATCCCTATGCGCCTGCTGATGGCTGATTTGTGTCAAAAAGCCAAAAAGGAAACAAAAGGACCAAAAACACCTCCTCCCCAGCAATCAACACCCAGATGCGCAGAGGTTATCACCAACATTAACACTAGCCCGGTGGTGGCGAACTTATGGCACGCATACCAGAGGTGGCGCTCAGAGCCCTCTCTGTGGGCATGCATGCCATTGCCCCAGCCCTGCCTCCCCCGTAGCCCGCTCACCAGCATCCCGCCCCCAGAAAAGAGTCGCCCCTGGGCACGGCCCGCAGGGAGCAGCACAGCCAAGTGTCACATGTTCCGACTAATGAAGCACTTCAAAGAACTTTCAGGCATGTTTCCTAAAATCTTTATTGCAGAGCTACAGTTTTGCCGGTCGCCATGATGGACTGGTTGATGCCAGAATCTGAACTTCCTTTCGCTGGCATCAAGCTTTCCTTGCTAAACCCTTCCCTTCTCATGCAGTCACAGGTCACATTATCCAATTAGTGAGAAGGTCAAAAGTTTGCTTCCTCTTTCTTTCCCGGGCTTTCCCCCCCCCCCCCGCCCAGTCTAAGCTAAGTATTAACCCAATAAATGCCAGACAGTTTTGAATATTGTCAAAGCAAGAATATACAGTATTTGCAGCATTGACACCAAGGACATGGCAGCCAGGCAGCGGGAACAAGATTCTGTCCTCGTGCCCCATCACGGGGCGCAGCAGAAGGCGTGACCGCCTTGGCACTACAGGGCCACCTGGGCAATCTGCTGCGGCGGGCCTTGGAGGTGCTGGGTGGCCCTGCGAGAGGCGGGGAGGTTTTTGGGGCACTCGGTCTCTAAAAGGTTCATCATCACTGCCCTAGACCAACAAATCAACAAGTAAACAAGAAACTACCAATTCCGACAAACAGTAAACAGCCTAGTCAAGGAATCACCAAGAATACTCCCACAGCAAGAGAGAAAGGAAAGCCACTAGTACAGAAGCCCCCACCCACCCAACCTTTTGGGCACCAGGGACCGGTTCCGTGGAGTTTTTTTCCACGGAATGGAGGGGGTGTGGTTTCACGCGCTGCCCGCATCCCTCGGATGGGGCTTCACATGTTTGCACGGACCGGTGTCTGGCATGCCACGGACCGGTGCTGGTCCACGGCCCGGGGGTTCGGGACCCCTGCACTAGTATAAAAAGATCACACTCCATTCCCTTCTAGCACTGATAATGTTACCTAGTTTGGTAATGAAACGTCTGCAAGAAAAACAGCCAAGCTCAGAGAGCGCCAAGGGCCCCACTTCCTGCTGGGCGCAATTTGCTCTCGTTTCCTTTCTTTCTTTCTTTCTTTCTTTCTTTCTTTCTTTCTTTCTTTCTTTCTTTCTTTCTTTCTTTCTTTCTTTCTTTCTTTCTTTCTTTCCTAATTCGGTAAAAATAAAATTTAGCGCCACTTACCTTTCTCGGATTCGGAATGCATTAGGAGGACCGGGTTATCCTGCTTCGCAATGGACATCGGCCACGCTTTTCTAGCAGAAACGTTTTCTGTGTTAGTAGCTGCGGAAACCGTGGCACTTGCCACGGAAACGTTAGACGGGCTAGGCGCCACGTAGCCCTCGCAGTTTCTCTCGTCCGTATCCGAATCATCCGAGTGCAGAGGATTCGTGAAACACAGGGGGGCTCTAGCAGGGAGCGGGCCGCTGGGGCGATGAACTGCTGGTTCACTGGGAGGGGGCTCCATTTGCGCTGGCAGGCCTGAGTCGACGTGCAGATTTTTAACTTCGTGACATAGAACGGGTAAAGAGGCCTCCTCGGATAGCGGCTGCTCAGGTTTAGCCTCTTCTAACGACCACATGGCGTGTCCCTTCTCTTTGTGAAGGGGCAAAGAGTCTGGCCTTCCCAGAGCATCGGGAATTGTCGTAAGGCCCTGATGTCCGTCCGGAGAGGATATTGCCACTGGCGTTGCTGGCTGCAGGTCGCATTCGATGCCGGGGTTCTGTACAGTCTCCGTAGGGGCATCTCCTGAGCCGCGCTCCTGCGGTTTGGAGGCCGCCTCCGCCGCGCCAGGCGGGCACGTTTTGACTTTAAGTGCATTGCCCCGACTTAGGACGGGGTTCCCGTCGAAGCTCCGTGGGCCTTCCTGGAGGGGCACTTTCTTAATTTCGAAGCTCAAGTTGTGTTCCAGCTTTCTGTCGGCAGGATCGGACGATTCGTGCTTCCCTGAATATTCCCTGGATTTACCGTAATTGTCGTTGAGGTCTGTCGGCTGCTCCGAAGACAGCATGTGCAAAACGGGCTTGGGGTGGTATCGGTCGTTGTCTTGCCAAACAGTCGTCACGGTTGGGTAGGCCGAAGGAGGCGACGGGGTTAGAATGGGTGGGACCGGATGGGGCTCTGGGGCCTGCAAAATTTCTTCTTTCACGTCTCCCTCAACGAGGCAACTAAACACAATCGTGAGAATAGGGGGATGAGTATTTCTGAGGCACAGACACACGCACGGGTGAGATAAAACAGATTAGAGCACGCAGGCTAATTTTGCCCACTGCCAGGAGTTCGATCCTGACCGGCTCCAGGTTGATTCAGCCTTCCGTCCTTGCGAGGTTGGTAAAATGAAGACTCAGATTGTTGGGGGCAATAGGCTGACTCTGTAAACTGCTTAGAATGGGCTGTAAAGCACTGTGATAGCACTTAGTGCTATTACTAAGTCAGGAGGGAGGGAGGGAGGGAGGGAAGGAAAGGAAAGGAGGGAGGGAGGAAGAAAAATAAGGAGGGAGGGAGGAGAGAGGGAGAAAAGGAAGGAAGGAAAGAGGGAGGGAGGGAGGAAGAAAAGGAAGGAGGGAGGGAGGGAGGAAGGAAGAACGGACCCAGGTGGTGCAGTGAGTAGAATGCAGTATTGCAGGCTAATTCTGCCCACTGCTAGGAGTTCGATCCTGACCAGTTTAAGGTTGATTCAGCCTTACGTCCTTCCGAGGTCGGTAAAATGAAGACCCAGATTGTTGGGGGCCATATGCTGACTCTGTAAACCGCTTAGAATGGGCTGTAAAGCACCATGAAGCGGTGTATGTATTAAGTCTGAGTGCAATTGTTATTAGTATACAGTTAGTCCTCCAGTTACAATCATTCATTTAGGGACGCTTCAAAGTTACAATGACATTGGAAAAAGTTGACTTATGACTGCTTTTCACATTTAACGACCGTCCCCATGATCATATGATCAAAATTCAAGCGCTTGGCAATTGGCATGTATTTATAACGGACGTGTGATCTCCATTTCCCAGCCAGCTTCCGACAAGCACAAACAATAGGGGAAGGCAAATTTGCTTAATGACCACGTGATTTACTTAACAACTGTGGCAAAAAAGGTCACAAATAAGGCACGATTCACTTAACAACCGCCTGTCTTTAGCAACAGAAATTTTGGGCTCAGCTGTACTTGTAAATTGAGGACTGCCTGCTTAGAGTTGCAATTAAGTATAAGGCGATGTCATTCGCAATTGTAGACATTTTGAGATTCAATGCCATGTGTAACAGCGAAAGTCTGTGAAATCACACTTCCTTCCAACGTTTTCAGTCGATATGTTTGAAATTTGAATAAAAGTCCGATCAGAACTACGAAAGATAATGAAGGCAAGATAATATACACTACACAAGGGATCTTCAAACTTGGCCCTTTTATGGCTTGTGGACTTCAACTCCCAGAATTCCTGAGCCAGCATGGCTCAGCCTGGAAACCTCTCCCTTTCCCCTCAGCGTGGCTGGCTGAGGAATTCTGGGAGTTGAAGTCCACAAGTCATAAAAGGGCCAAGTTTGAAGAACTCTGCAATACACTGTGGAAAAAAAAGATGGATCTTGTTGCCTTTGGGAATTGCCAAGATCCATTTGCTTTCTCCGGATATTTTCATTTTAGTTTTATAGTCAGCTGAAAAGCAATGCTGTCTTGTGGCAAACTTGAAAGTATCTATTTGGTGGGAATAAGAATAACTGAAAAGTATTATCTTGCATATGAGTAGATTTTAGATAATTATTAATAGTTTTAATTATATTATTTTAGTTTATAATTTGTTAACACTTGTTTTGAAAAAGAGTTAAAGTGTGTTATGGTTTTGATTGAGAGTATAGCTGGTTAATGTCAGTTAGATTATGTTTATTTGTTACCCTGTAATCAGCTCTGGGAAGTGGGGGAGGGGGGAAGGGGGTGGGAGGGGTTTATATTGTATTAAATTCGTAAAACTTTTAATAAAGAAAAGAATAAGAATAGAATAGAATAGAATAGAATAGAATAGAATAGAATAGAATAGAATAGAATAGAATAGAATAGAATAGAATAGAATAGAATAGAATAGAATAGAATAGAAATAGAATGGAATGGAATGGAATGGAATGGAATAGAATAGAATAGAACAGAATAGAAATGGATTGGAATGGAATGGAATGGAATGGAATGGAATGGAATAGAATAGAATAGAATAGAATAGAATAGAATAGAATAGAATAGAATAGAATAGAATAGAATAGAATAGAATAGAATAGAATAGGAATAGGAATAGGAATAGGAACCTTGGGGGTCTTCTAGCCCAACCCCCATTTAGCCTGTTTCCTTTTGTTTCCAACTGGTTGGCCAGAAAATTAATTGCCCGTTTTTGTTATTCTGCCCTGTCTACCTTTCGGCTTCGTTTTGTTTCTTCTATTTTTATCGTCCTAACTTTCAATGTTTTGAATTGTTTGTAAACCACCCAGAGCCAACGGGAGTCCGGGGGCATTATCAATGCAATTAATTAACATTGCAAAGCTATTGGATTCTACGTTAACTCTCGGTCAACAGAACAGCAGGCCTCCCTGCACACCGAGTCAGCTCATGTCCCAGAAGTCTGCAGATCTCCCCAGGATCGACAGGGACCGAGTTCTGACAAATCTCCCAAATTCATCCTTCGTGGGAATCCACCAAGAAATCCCCAAAATGTAGGCTATCCCTGTTGTTAGTTGCGAAGTCGTGTCCGACCCATCGCGACTGAATGAAGCCACGTTCAAGGGATGCCTAATGATTTGCCCAGAGCGGGTTCAACAGCATACCTGCGAGTCCGAGGCGGCTTAGGGGGAGGGGAATCCTGTTTCTCGGGGTCTTCCGAGCTGACGGCGTTTTCTGTGCTATCTTCCTTCTGTCAAAGGAAGAAGAGACCGAGGGAATTTTATTCAGTTTTATTAAAACGCCTCCCCCTCACACACACCGAGCAGAAAATTAAATTAACCTTCTAGAAACAAAACGAGAACGCAAAATGTTATGGAAATTTGAATATTTTTTTTTAATGTGTTTACTTATGAACGTTTGATGCTGCCCGTCTCCACACAAGGTGATTCTGGGCCGCAGAAAAATAAAACTAAATACAAGCAGTCCTCAACTTAGCAAAGTTCGTTTAGTAACCGTTCAAAGTTACAGCGGCAGTAAAAAAAAAAAAGTGACTTGTGGCTGTTTTTCACACTTGCAACCCTTGCAGCATCCCCCTAGGGTAGTGGTTCTCAACCTTTTTAATGCCGCGACCCCCAACCGGTCGTAAGTCCAGGACTATCCAACTGGTCGTAAGTCCAGGACTACCCAACCGGTCGTAAGTCCAGGACTACCCAACCAGTCGCAAGTCGAGGACTTCCCCTGCCCAGGAGCGCCGCGCATGCGTGGTGCCGCCCCCTACGCCGGCCAAGGCGTAGCTGGCAAGCGGGAGAGACGGCGCAGGCCGACCACCGGCTGGGCCACCAGCTGGCCCAGCCCAAGGGAGGTAAGGCACCCGCTGGGCCCCACACGGGCCAGCAACCCTCCCTGCGCCCGACGGCCTCCCACCTCCCACCCCTGGCCCTCTTTTCCTTACATTTTTAGTAGTTGCTCAGCAGGGAGGGGTGGAAGCTTCCAGACAGCTCGCCTTCGCTGCAGACAACTTGCAGCACCGTTTGCAGAATGGGACTTTTGGGGGGCTCAGCAGGGCAGAGACAGCCTGGACAATTCCTATTGGCTTTTGAAAGCCAATAGAATTAGACTCTATTCAAGAGAGTCTATTCTATTGGCTTTCAAAAGCCAATAGAATAAAAGGGAGTAGCACAGCTAAGGAAAAGGGGGGAAAAATGGCGGACTGCATTGTTTGGCGACCCCCGTGAAATGGTCGTTCGACCCCAAATGGGGTCCCGACCCACAGGTTGAGAACCGCTGCCCTAGGGTCACGTGATCAAAATTCAGAGGCTTGGAAATTGGCATGTAGTCCTGACGGTTGTAGTGTCCTGAGGTCAAGTGATTGCGACAATCAAAGTCCAAGCCAGATTCACTTAACACCCAGGTTACTAAGTTAACAGCTGCGGTGAGTCATTTAACGAACTATGGCAAGACAAGTCGTAAAATGGGGCAAAATTCACTTGACAACAGAAGCGATGTGACCTAACAGACGGAGTACTATATGATCAAATATTTGTTTGGATACGGTTAAAAGAACAGTTAAATTTTGGATACGGATGGGTTTTATAATAAGAGAAATGTCATGTATAAGTAGTATAGTATTTTTTTTTAATAATATGGGAAACATAAAATACTGGGACAATTTAAATGTGGGAAATGTTTTGGATATTTAAATGTAATTAATCTTGAGAAAATTGTAATTGATAGGGAATGTTTTGATTATTACTGAGGGAAAATTAAGCTTAAATAAGAACTCTGAAAACAGAACTTTTAGCGATTTACATAAGGTAATTTTTTGCAAATGCACTTGTGAAATAAGCTGATTAGAAAAGACGCTACATATTGACGCTATTGCTATTTGTACTAATACTAGAAAAATCTTGATATTCAAATTTATATGCATTGAAAGTACGAAGAACTATATTTGGTAAAAGGAGATTATTATTGGAAGAAGGAAAGGTATTTCTAGCTAATATGTTGATTATGAAATCACAGAAATGAACTATTATTGGTTGTTGTTAAATATATGAACCCAGGCAAGACTAAAGATTGTTAATGTAAAAAATCAATAAAATATATTAAAAAAATATATAAAGAAATTTTAGTCAAGGACTACCTGCATGTTTTATATTGTTTTTCTTTCTACCAAGAAGCAAAACGACTTAACAATGCAGAAGCAGCATGATGAGACAGGAGAATTCTAGAAAACGGTGCTTAGGTTTTTGTTTCTTTTTCAAAACTCTTAAGATTAAAGCATGTCATGGGAAATTTCAGCACGGCATAAATCTATTAACTTATGACTAAAGCGTGAGAAGTCTTCATCAGAGTCCCATTGTTCATGTCTCAGACTAGAGAAATTCAGAAGCTTTTAAGAAATCATTTATGTGGTCACTCTAAGTCAAACATTTTCAGCTTGGAAATTCAACGCTTTGTCTGCCTGTGGTTACCTGGTTTGAGTTACTCACTGAAACTAGATATTGCACAATTGCCTTTGAAATGGTTGATGTCTAGAAATAAAAGGTGTCTAAGAAATTCGAGCACACACAGGTAAAACGAGACAGATCAGAACATACCCTACAATTAGAGTGTGCCCGGTATGTGTTTTTTGAACTTTGTTCTGGGTAGGATGGATTTACTACTTGTCAAAAATTGAAAATTGGCACCCAGGCAAACTACTGCAGAAGTCAGACCCGGTTTTATTTAGACTTACTCAATACAAAGTACAAATTAAAAGATTTGTACCGAGTATCAAGGCCAGTGTCTATTAATAGGTTATGTAAAGAGGCCTTCAAAACAAACCTAATAAAGGTAAGTAGGCTGGGCAATCTAAATCAGGGGTCTCCACATTTGGAAAACTTTCAGATTTGTGGCTGGGGAATTCTGGGAGTTGAAGTTTACAAGTCTGAAAACTGCCACGTCTGGAGACTCCAGATCTAAATGACTGGATGTTACTTAGCACTGGCTAGGTCAGTATCAAAACCTCGGTGTCTCAGAAGCGTCACATCACACAATTGACGCAGACCGAGTTCAAAAGAGCCCGCGTGGGGAATTTTAACAAGAAATGTCGAAAGATCAAAGAGCAATTAACGGTAACATTCTGCAGGACTCAAAATTGTGATTCAACTGGGTCCAAGGCAGCTGGAAGTTCAGTCATGCACTCACAGTGTTTCAAAAACTGTTGACCGGGGAAAGGAAACGAGGCTAAAGAGAGCAAAGGTAAGTAATTCAACGCGTGGAAATGATACGGTCTCAAAATATTTAAAATAAACAAAACTATGACTTAAGCCACATACCAATCCGTCTGCAATCTTCCAGGCCGCAGAGCTCTCGTATTTTTGCAACTGTTTCTCAAATAATTGCGCTATGGCTCTATGAACGAGTTCGTACTGTTCCTAGGTGCGCGGGATAAAGACAAGGATTAACTTAGCCCATTGGAAAAGACGACGTTCCCCCCCCCCTCCGAAATCCTTCGTGCTGCATCATTCATTTAGGTTCCGAAGACAAGGTTACCTTAGTCTGCACCGCAGAATGCCTTTGAGTCCTCATTTCTTGTATTAAATTAAATACATTGAATTCCTCTGGAATTTTCTGCAACAGAACACGAGCAATGGATTTTTTTTCCATGGGAGAAACTTAATTTCAAACGTTCTATAATGCACTTAAAAAACTGCTTTATTATTATTATTATTATTATTATTATTATTATTATTATTATTATTATTATATTATTGCTCTGTGTTCCAACACTGTACACTTCAACAATTAAAACTGCCTTTCCTTCCCCCCCCAGCAGTAAGCCATCTGCTTTTTCTCCAAATTATCTTTCAGTTTTTTTGCTCACGGCGTTCAACTGATTATTCTTCTGTAAAGCTCTAATCACTCGCATGACCTAGTTTTTCAGCATGTGGATGGCTCTAAAAATCCGCCTTACCCCGGCTTTCAACAAATTCCATGTGTAATCTATCGCACAGATGGCTCCGGTTCGTCCACATCCTGCGCTGTTTAACAAAAAAACAAAACAAAAAAAAACAAAAAAAGGAGACACATACAGTTTGTGGAAAGCAGATTTAAATATTAAAAAAAAAACTCCACATGTTCCGTTTTGTAAACATGCTGCATTTTTATTCTAGCCAAGAATTCTTGCTATATGGGTGGCATCCAACCCGTTAAAATAAACTATAACGCATACAAACTTATGTACATTCAGCGTATGTATATACAAGGTGTAGCTCCCAAGTCGCAAGCAAAACTCAGCCCAAAATGTACGTGGCTAAGTGAGACATTTGTTAAGTGAGTTCTGCTCCATTTTACGTCATTTCTCACCACAGTTGGTAAGCGAATCGCTGCAGTTGCTCAGTTAGTGACCCGGTTGTTAAGTGAATCGGGCTTCCCCCGTTGACTCTGCTCGCCAGAAGTTTGCAAAAAGGGATCGCGTGGCAACGCAACCGTCCTAAATACATGCCAGTTGCCAAGCCTCTGAATTTTCAGCACGTGACCATGGGGAGGCTGCAACGATCGTTAAGTGTGAAAAACGGTCATTACGTCACTTTTTAAATGCCGTTTTAACTTTGAATAGTCACTAAACGAACTGTTGTAAGTCAAGGACTGCAACAATCCTGATCCATCCATATAATCAAATACTTGGAGAGCTCTACTGTTTGCCAGATGGCTTCTGGGTGTAAGTCAAGGTGTTGTTCTCACCTTTAATACCCCGGAATATTTATCTGAAAGCATCAGCTCTCAACGGCACTTGCCCAGCCAACAAATCTGGGAGCGTGGACATCTTCCACGCTCCCAGTGTTATCTTCAAGGACCAGGGAAGTCAGCCTTCTCTGTCAATGCCCCTCTTAGATAGCATAGCAGTTCCCCCTGGAAATCTCCTGTTTTTCTGTGAAGTCTATTGAAGTACTTTTACAGGCAATTCTCAACTTACAGCAGTTCGTTTAGTGACTGTTCAACGTTACAACGGCACTGAAAAAAGTGACCGATGCCCGTTTTTCACAGTCGCAACCTCTGCAGCGTCCCCGCGGTCACGTGATCAAAATTCAGCTGCTTGGCAACGGGTTCATATTGATGACGGTTGCCCTGTCCCGGGGTCACGGGATCCCCTTTTGCGACCTTCCGACAGATTCACTTAACAACCGGGTTACTCGCTTATCAACCGCAGTGATTCATTTCACAACTGGAGCAAGAGAGGTCGCATAAACCCACTTGACACATGCTTAACCACAGACATTTTGGGCTCAGTTGTGGTCGTAAGTCGAGGAGTAACTTCACTCCATCAAGTCTTAGGAGGTGGAAATGGCTAAGGCAGGACTAGAACTCACCGTCTTCTGGGGATTGGCCCAAAGGAACCAACCCAGCCACTTTCATGGCTAAGGCAGGACTAGAACTCACAGTCTCCTGGGGATTGGCCCAAAGGAACCCAGCCACTTTCATGGCTAAGGCAGGACTACAACTCACGGTTCCCTGGTTTCTAGACTGGCGTCTTAACCACCAGACCAAACTGGCTCGCACTGATGTTTGACGATTTTTCCAAGTCTATACGTACTCTGTATTATCTTACTATTTCTTAATGTATGCTGTGTTGTTTTCAGCTCAATTTATTTAATACAGTTGGGAAGAATGCCACTTAAGACTTTCACAACTGAAGCAGCCTGCAAGCCAAACAAATAAACTACCAGACATAAAAAATGGCTTTTAAAGTAACTGGAAACATATAAAAGAACTATTCATCTGGCACAAGAAACATTATGTAAAGGCACCCTTTCTCTACTAGCCACTCTCAAGCAGTAAAGAGACTCTTCTAAAGTAATTACTATCAAAGAATGGAGTGGAGTGGATTGGAATGAAATATGGAATGGAATATGGAATATGGAATATAGAATAGAATAGAATAGAATAGAATAGAATAGAATAGAATAGAATAGAATAGAATAGAATAGAATAGAATAGAATAGAATAGAATAGAATAGAATAGATATTGGAAAGTAGAGTAGAGTAGAGTAGAGTAGAGTAGAGTAGAGTAGAGTAGAATAGAATAGAATAGAATAGAATAGAATAGAATAGAATAGAATAGAATAGAATAGAATAGAATAGAATAGAATAGGCTTTATTGTCACTGTGTAACTCACAACAAAATTAAGTGCTGTCCACAGCGCACACTACACACAAGTAAAAACCACAAATAAGAACATACATTATATACACACATCCTTCACATTCTGTTCACCATTGCGCTGCTCCTAATATCGGACTTCAATGTTGCACTATATGTGGTTATTTAATATGGTTACAGTTCTGGGATAAAAACTATTTTTTCAACCTATTTGTCTTTGTTTTTATTATCCTGTACCGTCTGCCAGATGGAAATAGTTCGAAAAAAGAAATGTCCAGGATGAGTCTTTAAGAATGTTTTGAGCTTTCCTAAGACAATGGGAACTATACAGTTCGTCCAGATTGGGGGGGGAGCCAATAATCCTTCGGGCAATGGTAATGACTCTCTGCAACGTTTTCCTATCTGCTACTGTGCAGCTGGCAAACCACAGAAATGCAAAGGACACCATAGGAAATAAGGGTAGAAAATACACACTAACTATCCAACAAATCTATGACCAGAAATGTTTCTAATTTCTGTGGCATTCTGGGACACCTAACTAACAAAGCTTTATTTATATTCCCGTGATTTATACGTAGGACTTAAAATTTTTCGGTGTGCCAGACTTTAAAAATATGAAAAGGAACTGGGGAAAAAAAGCTCCTCCCACTCCTTTCCTTAATAAAGGAAAAAGAAAAACTACTCAAATATTTCCTACGGTGAGTCACTGGCACTCCTGAAATAATCCCGATGAAAAAAACAAACATACCTGCAGTGTATACAGATAGGGACGTCTTCGTGTTCCTGATATTCTCTCATTAAACTGATCATGTCCAAAATAGAGTCAAAGGACGAAGGAACATCGTGGTCAGGCCAATTGACATAATGAAACTGATACACCCTTCGCGATTCCTAAAGGATCAGAAGGAGGTTGCATTATTTTATAAAACCATTCCTTTCGAGAACGTTGCTTTTTCTCAAATTTCTCACTAATCACGGGTGACTGGGCCACACTAAAGGAACTCATATACGGCAGTGGCCAAAATTGTGGAAACCTTTTGGGAAAAGTGTACAGTAGAAATGCCACTTTTGGTTAAATTTCCACCCATTCTTCTTCTAATTTCTTTATAACTGTAGCCTTGTTCACTTAATAATACTATTTTAAATCGCTTTCTGGCCAACCGGTCAGCTCTTTGCACCATTACTTTAATTTTATGATGTTTTACAAGCTCACTAAATGAAAGAACACAAAAAAAAACCCCAACCAACTTGATAGCGATCACATAACACACTGACACATGTCCTCCTCTCAGCTTCAATACAGGACATCAATCACTGGATCCTACTGTGATCTGATTGGCTCATTGCCAAAAACAAAATGACACCTGATTGGCTCTCTAAACACTCACGCTCATTGGCTACAATCAGATGAAGGAAAGCTACCTGAGATCAACCTAAGCAAGTTGTGCTTCCCTTTTCTGGTTATTTGGCTATAACTTTTCACAGAATACAGTACAGATAATTGAACAAATGTTGTTGCATTACATTCTTGATTAAATTATCTTTCCATTAATATGTATATTTTTATGGCACTACTCCCCCCCCCAAAAAAAGTGGCGTTATTAGCCATCAAACCTCAAAAATACACTTTTCCCAAAAGGTTTCCACAATTTTGGCTACTACTGTAAATAGCTTTGCATAAATTGCTAAGTCTGATTTATTTGGAACATCTGCTGGCGGTTCTCTTGAGTTTTTACAATAATGGGAGAAAGACAGAGCCTAAAGAAACCTTTTCCAACTTATATGTCTATATTTAGGGTAGTACTATGCGATAGTCTATCAAAATAAATTAAAAGAACTGCACTGGGGGAAAAACAACAACGAAGCTTTGGTAAAAGCACAAGGTTTAATATTCAACTGGAAACCTGCCTGCAAAACTGCAAGGTCAAACATCTACATCGGAAGTGTCCAAACCTGGCCTCTTTAAGACCTGTGGACTTCAACTCCCAGAATTCCTCAGGCCAGCCAGAATGCTTAGTACAGTGGTTCTCAACCTTTTTAATGCCGCGACCCCCCCCCCAACCGGTCATAAGTCGAGGACTACTCAACCGGTCGTAAGTCGAGGACTACTCAACTGGTGCAGCACCATTTGCAGAATGGGACTTTTGGCGGGCTCAGCAGGGCAGAGACAGCCTGGACAATTCCTATTGGCTTTTGAAAGCCAATAGAATTAGACTCTATTAAGCCAATAGAATAAAAGGGAGTAGCACAGCTAAGGAAAAGGGGGAAAAATGGCGGACTGGGTTGTTTGGCGACCCCCGTGAAATGGTCGTTCGACCCCAAATGGGGCCCCGACCCACAGGTTGAGAACCACTGGCTTAGTAAGTGAAGGGGTTATCATGTGAAAGTCAAGATCCCCAAAAAAATATCCAAATAGCTGAGGCTATCCCTCTACGCCAGGGGTCCCCAATCCCCGGTCCCTGGACCGACAACGGTCCGCGGCGTGGTAGAAACCAGTCCGCGCCAACAAGCAAATCCCCATCCGCGGGATGCAGGCAGCACATGAAACCGCGTCCCCTTTGGTCCACGGAAAAGCCTCTCTCCACGGAACTGGTCCCTGGTGCCCAAAAGATTGGGGACCCCAGCCCCTATGTGATTTGGAAGCTCCTCTGTTTCCATCATTTTGCTGGGGGGGTCTACCCGAGAAGCATCCTCTCTCTTTTTTTGGGGGGGGGGGAAATTATTATACCGGTTTATACAAAGAACAAGAAATCTCTTGTTACTATGTTTTTTTTTCCCAAACTCTCCCCCATACATATACCGTGATATTTATCAGATGTTAACATACATTCTTTTTACATTCATATATAAGATACTTTTGATAAAATGAAATAAATACATACACGTGACTTTTGGTGTTGCTCGCCCATTTCTCCTTTCACTGTATCCACACTCCTTCTTCTGTACCTTCTTTCTCCCTTTCTTCTCTTTCTTCCCTACTTCCCTCTTCTTCCTCTCCTCTTCTCTTTCCTTCACCACTCTCCTCCCCTTTCTCCCCACTTCTCCTCTTCTCCTCCAATCTTCCTACTTCCTTCTCCCCTCCTTTACTCTTTCCTCTTTCCTCTCCTTTCTTCCCTCTCATCCCTCTTCAGATACGATTCAGGGGTAACGTCCGAGCAACTCCCGAGAAGCATCCTCTCATTTGCAACTGCTTTTCGTTCTCATTATTAGTCCAGTGACTACACTGGCATTTTGCCCTAAGGCAGTGGTTCTCAACCTTTTTAATGCCGCGACCCCCAACCGGTTGTAAGTTGAGGACTACTCAACTGGTCGTAAGTCGAGGACTACTCAACTGGTGCAGCACCGTTTGCAGAATGGGGCTTTTGGCGGGCTCAGCAGGGCAGAGACAGCCTGGACAATTTCTATTGGCTTTTGAAAGCCAATAGAATTAGACTCTATTCAAGAGAGTCTATTCTATTGGCTTTCAAAAGCCAATAGAATAAAAGGGAGTAGCACAGCTAAGGAAAAGGGGGGAAAATGGCGGACTGCGTTGTTTGGCGACCCCCGTGAAATGGTCGTTCGACCCCAAATGGGGTCCCGACCCACAGGTTGAGAACCACTGCCCTAAGGCTATTACTGTTAGTCATTAAGTCTTTTTTTAGCTAAAAAAAAAAAAAAAAGGCTTGCCTCAGATTCTTCCTGCCTTGTTTCGAATGAAAAAATGGGATATCTTACTTTGGTCCTTCCAAACTACCAGAAATAAGTAAGTCAAATAGCACGCTGCTATTGGTGGAATATTCAAAAGATTTTTAAGAAAAAGATTACGTTTACTCCGCAATTATTTTTGTTGGGTATTATTGTAGATTTTGATGTTAAAGAAACTAATTTTGATGTTGAACCTTATAACAGCTGCAAGATTATTGGTGGGGCAATAGTGGAAGAAAAATTTGTTGCCTACTTTGGAAGAATGGATACTTAAAAGTGTCTAATTTAGCAGATATGGCAAAGATCTCCACCTATTTCAGTGGTTCTCAACCTGTGGGTCGGGACCCCATTTGGGGTCGAACGACCATTTCACAGGGGTCGCCAAACAAGGCTGTCCGCCATTTTTTTCCCCTTTTCCTTAGCTGTGCTACTCCCTTTTATTCTATTGGCTTTTGAAAGCCAATAGAATAGACTCTCTTGAATAGAGTCTAATTCTATTGGCTTTCAAAAGCCAGTAGGAATTGTCCAGGCTGTCGCTGCCCTTCTGAGCCCGCCAAAAGTCCCATTCTGCAAACGGTGCTGCACCAGTTGAGTAGTCCTCGACTTACGACTGGTTGAGTAGTCCTCAACTTACAACCGGTTGGGGGTGCGGCATTAAAAAGGTTGAGAAACACTGGCCTATTTGAAGGACCACTCACAAGAAAGATACATTATGGTTTGGAGAAGATGGATTGATTATATTCAGAAGAAATATGAAATTGAAAAGTATTATCTTGCTTTTGAATAGTTTTTAGATAATTATTAATAGCTTTAATTACATTATTATTTTTGACTTAATTTGTTAATATTTGTATTGATAAGGAGTTAAAGTGTCTTACGGTTTTGATTGATAGTATAGTTGGATTATATTTGTTTATTCTTTTGTTTTACTCTGTAATCAGCTCTAGGAAGTGGGGGCAGGGGGGGAACGGGTGGGGGGGTTTATATAGTAATAAATTTATCAAACTTTTAATAAAAAAAAAAATAGTACGCTGCCCTCTTCTCGGCCTCCCCTTAGCTGAAAAGGAGACACTGTACGGCTAAAAGCACAACTATTTATAAAAATGAAAAAAATAAACAAGCGGCAGACAACAAAGAACAAAAAGGAACGTTTTTATCATTTGTCAGGGGTCTGAGACACTCAGAAGAACAGAATAATAGGAGTTGGAAGGGACCTTTGAGGTCATCTAGTCCAGCCCCCCACTCAACCTGGAGACCCTCTACCCTTCCAAACAGTCTCTTCTTAAAAGCCTCCAGGGATGAATCCTTCGCAATTTCTGAAGGTTCTCAAATCTCAAATTCTCACATCCCTATTCGTTTAAGCTAAACCAGTGGTTCTCAACCTTTCTAATGCCGCCACCCCATAATACAGTTCCCCATGTTGTGGTGACCCCCAACCACTTATACATCACTGGGTGCCAGGGGCGTGGCCAAAGAAAAGGGGAAAAAAATGGTGGACAGACTTGTTTGGCGACCCCCGTGAAATGGTCGTTCGACCCCAAATGGGGTCCCGACCCAGAAGTTGAGAACCACTGAGCTAAACAGAATTATTCCACAAATATGCTACCAAAACCAAAGCAATTTTCACACAAGGGTTAACCGAAATAAGAATTATACCGTGTTTCGCTTAATTGGAGAAAGAGATATTTTATTATACTTACATTCTGATGTTCAATGAGCAGGGTTCTAATATAGTAATCTGTCCTGACCTGTTCAGCTTCCTAAACGGGAAGAAAAGTAGATTAAGGCTTGGCCCACTTTGACACAGCCTTAAATACACCCGCCCAAAAGCCAACTTCAAACCATGGTTTAGGAAGCTTGACAAAAGCGACAGCAAATTTTGCTCAGATTGACCAGCCTATCCAGATTGGTGCAAATCATCGAACTGGGACAGTTTAAAAATGGAAATAAAATCTGCTAATTTTCTAGTCGTATCAGAGAGGGATACCCATAGCATGGTTTCATGTCAAACTATAATGTAAATAAGGCTAATCTACAATTCCTCTTTTTTGTAAGTATAATTTTGAGGAAAAATGCTCCGTTATTAATGCAAACATTTTTTTAATTCTAAGCTATTGTCTGAACAATGTTATCGATGTAGCATTACCAAGACTTTAAGTATCTGCTTTTGCTACTCACACAATTATTAATCTATTCAAAGTAAAAACACTTCAAACCCACTACTGATTTAATTCATGTAACTGCAGAAGAATGCAAAACAGATTTGTGCGTTCAATGTTCACACAACTGTGCATATTAAGCCCAAATTACAAATTCGTTAAAAGAATTATCAGTCATAAAAATACTTACACAAGAAATGTGGAATGGTCCAAATGAGATAGCTTCTTCTCCATACGGTGGCCAGTAACGTTCACATTTTTTCTGTTAGCAAAATGAGCAGTTTTATAAAAATACACACACTTTGGAATGCATACATTTGAGACTTTACCTGAATAAAGCCCTCCCAATCTTTTTAGTTCACGGTCTACTTCCTTGATTTTTTTCACATTTAATCTTTTTAAAACTTGAAATTTTAGAGCAATATTAGGATCTGTCTTAAAATTCAGCAGGGTACACCTTTTTTATAAACCTGTGATTTCAATGGCACAATGAAATTCTAAATGCTATTTGATTTAAAGTAGACTCTTAAGACATCAATAAACAAAATTAATACAGTAGCTGCGTTCTTCTCTTTAGATATTTTTCTTAATCACTAAGTAAATCTAAAACCGTTAATTAAGATTTAATTTCATTATCACCCATAGCAAATGTGGCAAGGAAATGAATGTGATTCATACGTACCCTTCCCATTTCAAATTCCCGACAGGCCATTACAATAATCTGGGGAAGGAAAAAAAAAACAAAAAAAAAACAAATGGTCTAGAAAACATTGCCAAAATTGTCTGCCAATATGTGGGCGGGTTGCATTTTGTATCAACTGATGCTTCCAATGTAATCTTCAGCCCCCTCCCGGACTTAAAAGGTACAGGAAGTCCTCAACCTATGACCACAATTGTTAAGTGAGATATTTATTAAGTGAGTTTTGCCCCATTTTACTACCTTTCCTGCCACAGTTCTTAAGTGAATCACTGCAATTGTTAAGTTAATAGCCCAGTCGTTAAATGAAATCTAGCTTCCCCATTGACTCTGCTGGTCCGACGGTCGCAAAAGGGGATCACATAACCCCGGGACGCTGCCACTGTCATAAACATGAACCAGTTGCCAAGTGTCTGGATTTTGAACACATGAACATGGGGATACTGCAAAGGTCGTTAAGTGTGAAAAAAGGTCATAAGTCGCTTTTTCATTGTACCATTGAACAGACACTAAATCAGTGGTGGCGAACCTACGGCACGGGTGCCAGAGGCGGCACGCAGAGCCCTCTCTGTGGGCACGCGCGCCGTCGCCCCAGTCCTAGGCCTTCAGCTGGGTTTTATAAAACCTTTTCGCTTTAGGCCTCCGCCGCCGTGTGCAAAAAAAGAAAAAAAGGTTCAATCAGTCAGTTTCAACTTCTCATGGGAAAAAAAAGATCTTGCAAAGTTGGAATTGATTGAACTTTTTAGTCCCACCCTGTCTGCCGTTACCACTGTAGCCACACCCACCCAGCACCCGACGATGCATAAGTGGGTTTTGGGTTGCAGTTTGGGCACTCGGTCTCTAAAAGGTTCGCCATCACTGCACTAAATGAACTGTTGTTGTAAGTTGAGGACTTCCTGTAGAGCATTGGGTCTTCCAGAAGCCTGGCTGCTCTCATTCGCCTTTAAGTAATCTGAACAGTTAAGACACGATTGACGTTCAGCCAATCTGCTTCAAAAGTTCGTCGGGATGCAACAATCTTGAGTGCCGAGCAGCCTCCCCCCCAGTTGAATCAGGTAGCAAAATTTCACGTAATATGATCAAGTCGGGACTTAAGCTACTTACCGCGACATTGTACTCCCATATCATCCTCCAGAAATCGATTACTGTATTGGCTAGTGGTCCCTGGGTAGCAACATATGCTTTTGGTCCATGTACTCCCTAAAATTGCAACATGCAACTGAATATTAGAACAGAATGAGATGTGTTTTTAAGACGGTTTGTGTGCAAAATGTCCAAGATTGTTCCAAAGACAGGGGCGATGAGTGGAACGTGAATTTTAAAAATATCCCAACGGTGCTTTTTTCACGAGGCAACTGGACTTTCTTGTTTTTCTTTGAAGACGTTTCACTTCTCATCCAAGAAGCTTCTTCAGCTCTGACTGGATGGTGGGGAATGGAAGGATTTATACTCCTCGCAGAGAGCTGTTCATTTGCCTTCTTTTAGCGAGTCCTAAAGGATGCGACATCATCTATCCCCGGTCTACAACACAGTCCTTTCAAGAAGGCTCCACACCCATTTGTACTACTCAGGTGACCCTGAGGACACAGATAAACCTCCAAGTGGCCTCAACAATTCTCCAAAAGAATGCAAATGACCAGCTCTCTGCAAGGAGTATACATCCTTCCCTTCCCCACCATCCAGTCAGAGCTGAAGAAGCTTCTTGGATGAGAAGCGAAACGTCTTCAAAGAAAAACAAGAAAGTCTACTTGCCTCCTGAAAAAAAAAAAGCATCTTTGGGATAATTATGATGACTGGATGACTGAGAATCTCCACAGAATTTTAAAAATAGGTGCAAAGTCTCCACAAACTCACTTTTTCAAGCTGACAGGAAAATTTAAAGAAATCCTAGACAAATACCATTTTTTTTTATTCATGAAATACAAGTTAATAGCAAAACCTCCCATAAAAATTCACTGTAACAACCCAAATGCTCAAGGAGCATTGTTACGTTTTCTTTCCAGCTACAGACTGCAAAATGTATGAATTGTTTTCTCTTTAACTGATTGCTTTCCACATTGGCCTCAATATCCTAAAGTGTAACGGTTTATTTAAAAAAAGCAAACAAAATTAACATCCAATTTTAAGATTTCATTTAAAGGATACAGGATGCTATTAAGGACTGCTTAATCTGATTTTTGAGGAAAAGACACTACAGATGCAAGGATCCAAAGCCCTAAAAGCTAACCAATAATAACTATTTTCCATTATATAAGCTGCTCATGGATACACAAATGGAGCTGATGGATGACGTACAGTATTCCCTAAAGGAAATGCATTGAGTGAACCAGGAAACTGACTTGGATAACTTTTCTTTACCGGATAAACAAAAAGAGTCTGTTAAGATCTTGAAGGATTTTATTAGAAATAACAAACAAAATGACAAATTTTACATACTGGATATATGGAAGGAATGTAACATTCTGAAAGATTTCTGGCTTTAAAAAAGCAGAGAGAGAGAAAACTAGCTCTGGGACTCTTTTTTTGAAGGGATTAAAAAGTAAGATTCTTAAAAACTTAACGAAGGAATACAAAGCCAGCTTATTCAAGCAGGGCTAAAAGAAAAAAAATGTTATGTATGATTGCCCTTACTGGACTTTTACTGTCAATGAACAATTGACAAAATGTTTGCATTTTGTTTTTGTTTTTTGCTTAAAAGAGGCGCTGTGGAGTGAAGAGAGATTATAGTGTATTTAGAGATGGTGATATGCTATTAAAATTGTTTTTACTTGCTGGGAATAAAGGGGAAAGTTACACTTTCTTTTTTTCACACTTTTTTTGTATTTTACTGTTTGCATGTTTGTAATTAGCATTTCCTTTGCTTCTCTTCATTCATACTTCTTAATAAATTTATGAGAAAAAATAACAATAAGCTGCTTTGGTGATTCCATTCCATTGCAGTAATAGTACACATTATTGCTTCTGCAATATAAACACACAAACCAAGTGATGTTACCTTAATTCTAATTTACATGTGTACATAGCCCAAACTAGACTGTTGTTTCTCCGTGTGGATATAATATATGTGGGCATATGTATGTATATGTATAATTCTGTATTTATTTTTGTCATATTTATGTAGTCGTGTATACTGTGGTGATCCTTTGAGAGTTGAATGCAACGAAATTTCATTTTAATGTATGCCGATTAGTGTACATTCAAAGTGACAATAAAGTTATTATTCTATTCTATTCCATTCCATATTTTCTATTCTATTCCATTCCATTCCATCTGTTCTATTCTATTCTATTCTATTCTATTCTATTCTATTCTATTCTATTCTATTCCATTCCATTCCATTCCATTCCATTTATTCTATTCTATTCTATTCCATTCTATTCCATTCCATTCCGTATATTCTATTCTATTCTATTCTATTTCTATTCCTATTTTATTCTGCCTTCTTGAAGAATTACATGTTAATTTATGATTGACATGTTAAAGGCAGAAATAAAAAGGTTTCAAAAATTGCTTGTACTTTACAACGTGGGTATCACATGCTAATAACCGATTAATTAAAAATTATACATTTACTAATATACTTTATTCAAATCTCTTAATTAAGGCCTCTTATTCACTTTCAAATTACTACAGTCAAGTCAAACAGGTTATTGCATGATGCTAAAATTAGAGATTTTATTTCCTCTGGTTTTGTGACTAATTTTGCTACATTAGCTTGGCAATTATTGTTTCCTGCACTGACGGTTTAACAAGGTCATTTTTTCTCCACTTGTTTTGGTTTGAAGGGATTCCAGCTTCTTTGCCTTCAAGCTCAACAGGATCACACAGAATTCATCCGTACCAAAAAATAATCTCCAGGGAGAAATTTAAGCCAGTATTTTGAAGGGTTCACCCGTCCATCACACAAGGCGATAAAATTACATGAATACCTACCTTAATGAAATTTGCATTGATGTAGTCAGAATCTTGCGTGGGAGTTTTTAACGTCAGTTTAACTCGACTGTGATCAACTGAAATACAACAGATTTTGGGAAAATTACTCCGCAAGCCGAGATGATGTGTGTTCCCTAGATCAGGGTTAGGCAACCTCGGCTCTTTTATGGCTCGTGGACTTCAACTCCCAGAATTCCTGAGCCAGCCACGCTGAGGGGAAAGGGAAAAGTTTCCAAGCTGAGCCATGCTGACTCAGGAATTCTGGGAGTTGAAGTCCACAAATCATGAAGGGACCACAGTTCCCCCATGCTGGCTCAGGAATTCTGGGAGTTGAAGTCCACGAGTCAGAAAGCGGCCTAGGCCTAGGCCAGAGGTAGGCAACCTTGGCTCTTTTATGATTTGTGGACTTCAACTCCCAGAATTCCTGAGCCAGCCCTGCTGAGGGGAAAGGGAGAGGTTTCCAAGCTGAGCCATGCCGGCTCAGGAATTCTGGGAGTTGAAGTCCACGAGCCCTAAAAGAGCCAAGGTTGCCTACCCTTGCCCTAGATCAAATGTCAATTTTAGGCAGTCTTCAACTTATGACAGCTAAGCCCAAAACTTCTAAGCGGGACCATTGTCAAGTGAGTTTTGCCCCATTTTATGACCTTTCTTGCCACAGCTGTTAAGTGAATCACTGCAATTGTTAAAGTTAGTAACACGGTTGTTAAGTGACTCTGGCTTCCCCGTTAACTTTGTAAGAAGGACGCAAACGGTGATCACAAGATCCCGGGAGTACGTAACTGTCCCAAATACACGGCAATTGTCAAGCATCTGAATGTTGATTACCTAACCGTGAGGAGGCTGCAATGGTCGTAAATATGAAAAACAAGGACATGTCACTTTTTTTTAGGGCTGTTGTAATTTCAAACGGCCGCTAAACGAATGGGAGTAAGTCAAGGACTACCTGTAGTCACTACAGGCTATAGACCAGGGGTAGGCAACCTTGGCTCTTTTATGACTCGTGGACTTCAACTCCCAGAATTCCTAAGCCAGCCATGCTGAGGGGAAAGGGAAAGGTTTCCGAGCTGAGCCATGCTGGCTCATGAATTCTGGGTGTTGAAGTCCACGAGTCATAAAAGAGCCAAGGTTGCCTACATCTGGCCTAGGGCCTAGGCAGCTTTGTGACTCGTGGACTTCAACTCCCAGAATTCATGAGCCAGCATGGCTCAGCTTGGAAACCTCTCCCTTTCCCCTCAGGGTGGCTGGCTCAGGAATTCTGGGAGTTGAAGTCCATGAGTCACAAAGCGGCCTAGGCTTAGGCCAGACGTAGGCAACCTTGGCTCTTTTATGACTCGTGGACTTCAACTCCCAGAATTCCTGAGCCAGCCACCCTGAGGGGAAAGGGAGAGGTTTCCAAGCTGAGCCATGCTGGCTCAGGAATTCTGGGAGTTGAAGTCCACAAGTCACAAAGGGGGCCATAGTTCCCCCATGCAGGCTCAGGAATTCTGGGAGTTGAAGTCCACAAGTCATAAAAGAGCCAAGGTTGCCCACCCCTGCTATAGACTTACAACAGTAACCATTAAAAGTTAAAAGTATGACGGATGACTGTTTTTCACAGTCACGACCTCTCAGCATCCCCACGGTCACGTGATCCAAATCCAGACGCTTGGCAACTGGTTTATATTTATGACGGATGCTGTATCCCGGGGTCACGTGATCCCCTTTTGAGACTGTCTGACGAGCAAAGTCAATGGGGAAGCCAGATTCACTTAACAACCGGCTTACTAACTTATCAACCGCAGTGATTCGATTCCCTTAACCACTCTGGCAGGAAAGGTCGTAAAATGGGGGCAAAACCCGCTTCACAAATGTCTCACTTAACAACAAAAGTTTTGGGCTCAATTGTGGCCATAATTCAAGGATTCCCTGTCCTGATTTAGTCGCTTGCACAAACGCTTTGAACGTCAACCATCCAAAATCCGTTACACCACAGAATCAACTTCCCATTCGGAGGCAACTGCCTGAAGCAGCAGATTTGAGGATGGGAAGATATTAGTGACAGCCCTCGGCGGTTTCATCCTATGTTGGAGAACAGAAAAGCTTTACAACACATCTTGCTTTGTACCCTTGCAAGTTAGCTTGTTATTCTTAAATTCAGAGGATAACACAAGCCTAGTGGTAGAATTGAAGAAATCCAGTTTACTCTGTGTGTGTGCAATGAGCAGAAGCTGTGCTATATCGCACTTTAGACAACCAATATCTTGCCGTTCCATTTTATTTCAAAGATCACTAACCTCAGGTGTGTGGGTATGTGTGGTTTTTAAGGACACACAGGACTCCAATAGGGAAAAGAGGCAAATGAGCTCTAGAACATGAAATGCTTAGAGTTGTCCTCTTAAATATCCTGGAGTTCAACTCAATTCTTTTAGGTAACTCGAGATATATGTCCAAGTAGTCCTCAAAGTACGAATATGATTGACACCTTAATCTCGGTTGTTGAGCAAAGCAACTGTTAGGCGAAACAGTCACATGACTCCTTCACTCAAAAACCACAATCCCGGCACTTCCAGTTGCGGTCATTAAGCTCTCTCCCAGGTCATTAATTGGACGCAGTAAAAGAGCTGCTGCTAAAGAATTCCAACTCCGTGTGGAGCTGAAATCCTTCCAGCAGGCAGCCCTTTTGTTCTCAAATGTTCTTGCAGTCTGCTGAAGGACTTCCCCTTTTTTCCATACACAGAGGGGAAATCCTTTGGAGTGGCTGCAGGAACAGAAGTCTTTAGGAATTCAGCTCTGTCCCTGCAGTCACACAATAGATTCTACCCTCTATCCTTGTGCATGGAGGGGAAATCCGCTGTGGGGCAGCAGCTGAAGATTTCAGCTCCATTCCTGCAATCCATGCAAAATTTCAGCTCCCCTCCCTCCCCTCTGCTGGCATCCCAACTGACTTTCTAGGGAGGTTGGAAAAAAGACTGCAAAAGGTGATCACATGTCAATTGGTTATAAATGCAAATGGTAATGACATAAAAATGTGGCTTTCTATAAAGCAACTTTTCAGAGGACGTTTATAACTTTGAACAGTCATTAAAGGACCAGTCGTAAATCAAAGGCTATCTGCAGTCTTAGCATCCTGCTAATCTAATCACACAATAGGCAGTGAAGGAAACTATTTCTTTATTTTGTTGTATTTATAAGAAGATAAAAAGCACTAAAAAAAACAACCGGCAATTATCATTATTTAAAATGCCATGACTGCAGGAGAACAGGATCCATTACCTACATATTTAAACTTTCATTTTAATTCTAGTTAAATTTCCACAAATGTGGTGTTTTTTTTTTCATTTAAAGCTATCACTTAAATATCATGTACATTCAAATAAGATACGATCAGAATCTATATACTGTAAAGTCAATGTTCATTCCAGGTTTTCTCTCTTTTTCCTTAAGTTGTAAGAAACACGACTTTTTGAAAGTAGACGGGCATATCTATTAATAAATACCATGTTTGATGATTAAAAACAACTTTTGCTACATTGGTTTGTACACAAAACTTAATATATTTTTTTCCAACACTGGAGATTAGTTTTTAAATAGAAGATGCAAGTACAGCAAAACAGAAGCATTAATATAGGCAGATAAAAAAAGATTAGGAAAAATATGTGTTTCCAAAAATGATTATCATCTAATGCATCTTATGTGTAAGACTGTAAATGTTAATCAGATTAAAAACATTATTAAAAAGAAGAGATTGCGACTTACATGGCAGTATATCTTTATATCTGTTCTTTTTCACATTTTCTTCCTTTTCTCCAGTGATGGTTGGGTAGATCTTTTCTGTTCTATATTTTGTTGATAACCTCCTCAATCTCTGTAATTAAAATGTTCTGAGCTGTTACTTCTTTAACGGCTCCACTTCATCTCTACAAAGGCATATTTCTCTCTCCTTTCCTTTATAACTTTTTTCTTTACATAAACTATAATGGCTTTCTCACATACACACCATGAACCATTTATTTTCAAAATTAAGGACAAGCTAATACAGGGGGGGGAAGCACTTTAGGATGAGCTACCAATTTCTTTACTGCATTCAGAAAAATTATTGGAGCTATTGCTGATTAAAAATTGATCATGTAACTGGGAGCCAAATGAGAGTAAGATTTAAGACACAGGAATGCACACAATTTTCTGACACTCCTTCTTTTTTTCATCTGCTGAGCTTTAAACAGGAATGCAGTCGTGTAATATAGTAACGCCTAAGAATAGAGAAGAATTTTTATGGAACTGCTAGCGCTTGTTTTACCAACTGTAACTCTAAGCCACAAAAACATACACAACATTATTTGTTAAGGTGAACCATATAAAAAGAAAAAAAGAAAATGATGGAATATTTTGTGCAAGAAGTAGTAAACTGCTGATGAACAGACATGAATTTCGGTCAAAGGGATTAATTCATTTTCAAGTTAAGCACAAGAAACTGATTTTAAGTCTCCTTCGAAAATAACTTTCATCTTATGACTCATTTACACCAAGACCCTAAAAAATTTTTTATACATCATCATGTATGTCAGACTCCAAAAATCAAGAAAAACATTTGGGGGGGGGCTATTTCCTAAAGGGTGGGAACCAATATTGTAGTAACATATTAGTCAGTATTTAATTAAGGAGATAAGATAACGTGTATGGTTGAGAGGGTTTTTTTTTTCTTTTTGATGCACTTTTTAAAAAACGTCTTGATTGTTTTCTTCTGGGGTTTTTTTTTTGTCTTTTTTTAAAAAATATTTGGAGTTTTGTATTTTAACTTTCTTTTGAATAAAATTAAAAAATGCAAGGAAAAAATAATGACGTCCACCTTATGTCACATTTATGCCAGGACTCTAAAGAATTTTATACAGGTTGTCCTCAACTTACGACCACAATTGAATCCAAAATTGATGTTGCTAAGTGAGAAATTTTGTTAAGGGAGTCTTGCCCCATTTCACGATTCTTGCCACATTTGTGAAGTGAATCCCTGCAGTTGTTAAATTAGTAACGTGGTTGTTAAGTAATGTGGTTGTTCCCCCCGCTGACTTTGCTTGTCAGAAGGTCACAAAAAGGGATCACGTGATCCCCGGGACGCTGCGACTGTTATAAACGTGAGTCACTTGCCAAGCGTCTGAATTTTGATCACGTGACCGTGGGGATGCTGCCAGGGTCCTAAGTGTGAAAAATGGTCGTAAGTCCCTTTTTTCAGGGCCGTTGTAACTTTGAACAGTCACTAAATGAACTGTTGTAAGACGAGGACTACCGATATCCCCTATTTTGACCGTACTTAGAGAGACTGTGGCATGCTGCAGAACCATGCTGTGGTAAATTCATGAGTATTGAACTGCAGGGGACTTGAGCTTTTTAGACTGGACTTGGTCTAACCACTAGACCAAGCTGCCTCTCTTAGGCAATACTTATGAGAAAGGATCACAATTCATACCACTAGGCCAGACGTAGGCAACCTTGGCTCTTTTATGACTCGTGGACTTCAACTCCCAGAATTCCTGAGCCAGCCACGCTGAGGGGAAAGGGAGAGGTTTCCAAGCTGAGCCATGCTAGCTCAGGAATTCTGGGAGTTGAAGTCCACCAGTCATAAAAGAGCCGAGGTTGCCTACCCCTGCACTAGGCCAAAACCTGGGCTTTCCCCACTGTCTGATAGATGTCGCACAATATTTTTTTTCCCTCAAAAATTTAAAATACCCCCTGGTGCTCCTACACGTTTGCTGAGAACTGCAGCCGTAAGAAATCGTTATCACCGTGGCTCTGCATATAATTCAAGTGTGCATTTAATGTATTGCTATACCGCTTGCCTTAGAAATGTTTCTTGGAAGTTTACAATAAAATTATAAAATTACTTTGTTCAGGGCTGTTGTAACTTTGAATGGTCACTAAGAGAACTGCTGGAAGAGAACCGTCTTAAGCTGAGGACTGCCTGCATATCATCATATATCTCAGATTCCGAAAACCAAGAAAGGCACATTGTGATTCTTCCAAGCCAATTTCTTTAGGGTTCCTCACAGACACAATCTTGCCAAACTAATGCAGGCTATCTCCTCCGTAGACTCTGGGAACTATTGGGGAGGAACTGCCTTCACCCTCTTTCCCTCACAGTCTGCACTCTCACGGGGATTACCGTTTCCCTGGATATCTGCCATTGCTCCAGTAGCTAAAGGCAGCACACAGATAACTTTATCTCGTGTTAAATTCATTTTAAAACCTACTGAGTTCTGCCTGGTCAACGTGAAGCACTTGACACAGGAGGGGGGGAAATGGCGCCCAAATAAACAGAGGCTGAACCATTATTAACAGCAACAATGCAATTCCTGATTCACAACTAGCAGGATAGCAATCTTATCGCTTCCTGTTCAGAGATATTAAGTTCAGCACCGTATAGTGGACTTTTATTTAGTATATCTCTACATCTGAGATATATACCCCACATTTCTAGAGATTTCCTGAGGCAAATTTTTGAGGCACATAAAGAGAAATCTTAATCCAGACTGGGTAATTTTGGGTAGTAGTCTCAAAATCCAGCCTCAAACTGGTTCTGAATTATACAACAGGAAATGCTAAAACTATTGATTTCATAAAATGAGCCTCTTGTATAGCCATTGTACAACTGACCCGTGAAGGACTATCTTTACAAAATACAGATTAATTAATCTACATTATCAGTTGACTGCAACTGCATTAAAATGTTTTAAGTGAGACAAGTCTTTCCAATAGTGAAAACAAACCTCTTTTTAGTACCATATAAAAATTCATTGTGCGTTATATTAATCTTTGTCCACAAATGCTCGGCTTTTTCCATGTCTGTATTATTTTATTTTTCTGCTGAATCAGTGGCCAGATCAGCACAAGATACAATTCCTACAGAAAAATGCCACAAGGAGCTTTATTATTTCTTTCTGTCCACTTTTACTGCATTGGGTACAGGAGTCTTCTTTCCACATAACATCTCTCCCATCTGCGCCTACTTGTATTAAAGAAATTTTAATTTAATGTGATTTTTTTTCTAGAAGTTTACTCAGATAAAGCCAGAACATTTGGAACCATAATATGAATTCAATCATTTCAATAATTAGTAATCGTATTGGTGTGGCATCCTGTTTTTGTGCCCCGCGGCCGCAGCATTAGTGCAAGTAGGGGGATGTGTGCGCACACATGCATGTACTGGCCAGCCTGTTCCTTGGCCCAGTGGCCCGCAGCTCACAGCCCACTACTGGGGCGCAGCCCACAGGTTGGGGACCTCTGTCCTAGAGCTTATAATTCTCAGGATGATACATAGATGTCCCACCTTTTGCTACCTCAGACTTTAGCTAAAGCAGCACGAATAACCTTGTGAAGAGGAACACACATCAGATATTTGCCCTGTCTCAGACTTCACTTATTTATAATTTATGCTTCCAAATAATAATAATAATAATAATAATAATAATAATAATAATAATAAAGTTGGAAGGGACCTTGGAGGTCATCTAGTCCAACCCCCTGCTCAGGCAGGAAACCCTATACCATTTCAGACAAATGGCTGTCCAGTCTCTTCTTAAAAACTTCCAGTGTTGGAGCATTCACCGCTTCTGGAGGCAGGTTGTTCCACTGGTTAGTTGTTCTAACTGTCAGGAAGTTTCTCCTTAGTTCTAGGGTGCTTCTCTCCTGGATTAGTTTCCATCCGTTGCTTCTTATCCTGCCTTCAGGTGCTTTGGAGAATAGCTTGACTCCCTCTTCTTTGGGGCAGCCCTTGAGATATTGGAACACAGCTATCCTGTCCCCCCTCGTCCTTCTCTTTGTTAAACTAGACATACCCAATTCCAGCAGCCATTCCTTATTATGTTTTAGCCTCCAATCGCCTAATCATCTTTGCTGCTCTTCTCTGTACTCTTTCTGGAGTCTCAACATCTTTTTTACATCATGGTGACCAAAACTGGATGCAGTATTCCAAGTATGGCCTTACCAAGACAGTGTAAAGTGGTATTAATACTTCACGTGATCTTGATTCTATCCCTCTGTTAATGCAGCCCAGCACTGTGTTGGCCTTTTTGGCAGCTGCAGCACACTGCTGGCCACAACTGAAATTTCCAATGCTAAGCAAAACAGTTAAGTGAATCGTGCCCCTTTTTATCAACATTTTGCTATGGTTGTTAAGCTAATCACTGATGCTGTTAAGTGAATCAGGAGGTTGTTAAGTGAATCTGGCTTCCCCCATTGACTTTGCTCATCAAAAGAGGATCACATGATACTGGAAACATCATAAATACGAGTCAGTTGCCAAGCGTTTGAATTTTGATCACATGACCATGGGGATGCTGCCACGGTCATAAGTGCAAACTCCAGCCCTAAATCACTTTTTTCCAGAGCTGTTGTAACTTTGAATGACCATTAAATGAACGGTTGTAAGTCAAGGACTAATTGTAGTAAAAACTGTCTTGTTATACGAACCAGGAATTACACTTTGGCATAAATAACTGTGGCTTCAGTTGTAAAACAAATTAAACTTTAACAGCCTAGTGTTAAAATAATCATTTTTAAATCACACAAAGGGACAACTTTTATACTTGCAAGGACTACCAACGGTAATAAATTTGGACAGCCGATTAGCAATAAATGTCGGCAACCTACTACAAAAAGAATTTCTTAATTATAAACAGTAATTCACCACACCTGCGTCAGTAGCATTTATATTACACTTGCCTATCGTCAACAACTTCTTTACTAGCAATTGCTGGAGAACCATAAAATACTTAAGTTGTTATCCGTTGCTTTCGTCCTGACTCATCTCCTGAGGCCACACTGCAGAGTGAGGTTATTGGTGTCCTGTGAGTTAAGCAGTAGTGGTTGAGTTTA